CCTGGCTGCTGTGGGGATACCCATGAGAAGCTTCTACTCCACCACCTCCCCTTCCTTCACCTCTGTGAGTGAGAGGGGCTGGGAATCCTGAACACCTGCCTGGTCAGGAGGGCTGTGAGGGTCACCCTTTTTGGGTTTGAGAACACACAAACCTCAGAGGTTGTGGGCAGCACTGCTGGACACTACAGGCACTACAGCAGATCCCTATAACCAAGCCTCTGGAGAGTTTTAGTGCCAGCAGGAACAGGATTATGTCCAACGACCTCTGAACAGGATTAACTGGCAACTAAAGACTTAATTTGAATGATTGTGGGCTTTGAGATTGACATCTCTGAGGAGTGTGTTCTATTTTTTAGGCTTACCTTGGAGGGTTGGAAAATAGCTGAAATGGGGTGTTTGCAAGAGAGGGATCTGTTTGATGAGCTATTATGCAACTTATAAGCAAAATGACAATTCTGTTGGACTCCAAGGAATCGTGCATGGTCAGGCACTTAGACCTTCCCATCTCCCTTTAGAAACACTTCAGTCAGTTATTGAAATGTTTGATATTTAACATGGGCTTGTGTGAAGGTGTCACTGCTGCTGTATCAGTCACTCTTGTATAATTCCCTCCCCTTGTAGCTTTCTGTGCACAGTATTCTGTGTTCTCAGCACTTGGTCCTGAACAACAATTTCAAGCAGAAGAACAGTGTGTGCAAATATCACTGATGCCCAAACAGCTGCTTGTGCTGCCTGAAAGCTGCTGAGATCAAATGAAACCTTTCTTGTAAAAATAAAAATGATCCCTGAAAAATGCCAGCATGGGGGAGGTCTTTAGTAACAGAAAATAGCTCCGTTTGGCCCAGACAAATACAACCCAAAATCTGTATTTGTACTTAAGTGCAGTTTATTTGATAGTTTTTGACTGGGTTTTTTTTTGGTTTTTTTTTGTCTCAGAATCCCAGAGGGAACATCCAAGGTGCAACAGCAGAAAGCCCCAGACTGCCTTTCAACTCCTCCTCTCCAAGAGCCTCTTCCCAGGAACTCAGGGAGGGAGCTTTCCACACTGTAAGTTTGAGACTCACTGAATTCCTCTTAGAGTTCTGTTTGCATCAAAATTAATTATTTACATAAGTCATAAACCACCTGCACAGCTCTTGAAATGCAGAGCTCTGCTTTCAGCTGCACCAGAGTAAAGCAGGGATAACCTTAGGGCAGCTGACTGTGGAAATTCCTGGGTGTGAAGTTGGCATCAGCAGGACCTTCAGCACTTTGTCAGCAGATCCATCTCCAGTGTTTCTTGTCACTAGTGGAACACTCACCATCCTCATCTGAGCGATCTCCTGTGAGTTATCGGAGCCAGCCAGGCTTTAATCAATTGAAACAGAAAAAATATGGGACTTCATTAATTGCAGAATTACAATTTATTTATCTTTTCATTCCTTAATATGCATATAATACTAGTTTAAAATCATGCAATTATGTAATCAAAAAAAAAAAAACAACTTGTAAGCGACAGTTTAGGTCAGCTGTGCAAAGAATGGACCAGAATTCAGTAGTTTAGCTTTTTAAGCCCATATTCAAACTGGCACAGCTGGAATAATAATAAAAACAAACTGCTATGATGTTTCCTGCAAGAATATGATGTTTCATGCAGTATTAAAAATTCCAGGTAATCTATCCACTGCTACTAATCTATCCAATAATACTAATCTATCTACTATTTTTACAGGAAATATGCCTGAAGTGTCAATGCTTCCAGTAGGATTTCACAACGATTGAGTTTATCTTAATGCATCATAAAATCTTTACTATCAAGGCCTTTTGAACATTGTGCATAAAATACTGCACTACTTTTTGGCAGAAGGCAGACGATTATTTATTTCAACCCAGCATCACATCTTTGTTGTCATTGTTGTTTATGATATACATTGTAGATTGATCTGCTCAGACTCGGGAAGATCTTCAAATATTTGAAATAAGGTTACTCAGAGGAAATCTTGAAGGTATAGCAAGAAGTATCTTGAAGTATTTTTTCTATACCCCTAGGAAAACTTATAAGGGAAAAGGTGGCGAATTATCAAATGGCAAGGCCTCCACCCTCCTGAAAATAGAGGATTTATTATCCAGGGATACTTAACTTGCATCTGCCAACTCATACAGATTGCTTAAAAGGAAAAAAAAAAAGGAGGATTTTTTAAAATACTATTCTCAGTGGCTTTTATGCTGCTTGTTCAGCTTTAGTCAGCTCCTTAGTTTATACTCAAAAGCTGAAAACTTAAAGTGAAACAGTGGCCTAAATCCACGGAGATTTATATCCATAAATGTGCTTGTTTTGGATATGAGTTATATGAATTTATTCTCCATAGTGAAGAGTTCAAAACCATGAAGTAAAGAAAGGTTTTCCCCTTCCTACTCTGCCCAGTGCAGGAATAACAACCTGCAATTATCTATTTCGGGGAGGGAAAATGCTGAGGTTTTTTTACCTAAGCCAGAGGATTTCCTTTAACAGGAGCTGTAGCAGAGCTCTAGGTGCTGGAAAAGAGCAGGTTTATCTGCAGAACTCCAGGAATCAAGCAGGTCAGTGTTATATAATCAACCTTCTGGAAAAAAAAGGCTACACAACCACTTCATATTTCTATCAGTTTAAACAGAATAGAAATTCTGATACATTTTATGGTGAAGTAGAGACATCTAGTGACTATTTTGTGTGATTCAAATGCAAATTATTAATGGAGGAGGAGAAACAAACTCCTTCCAAATTCTTGAATAGCCTTCTATTCAAGAATTTATATTATATATATATAAAATTATATATAAATAAAAAATATATTTTATATATAAAATAAATTTGGTCTGGCTTTGCATTACTGGCACTGAGGACAGTTTAGTGCCTAAGTACTAACACAGTTACTAACTAATATTACTTTGGTAAAGAATCTTCCTCAGAACAGCTTGGCTGCAATCTCAAACAAAAAAAATGCCTTTTTCTATTGAACATCACCTGCCTGCTAAGGGAAGGGCAAGATGCTGCAAGGAGAAGGGGAAGGATGTTGGGGTTGGAATTAGGTGGTCTTGAAGGGCTCTTCCAACCAAAAACATCCTGGGATTGATTCCATGCTGCCTTGGACAGGAAAGCCTTAACCCTGTAATCTTCTGCTCCCTCACTTAGACACCTCCATCTCAGCTGTTTACAGACTTCTGCTTTCCAGCTGGTACCTCCACAGTCCTCCCACTTCCTCCTGAAAGGTCAGTCAGGTACTGCAGCACTCTGGGACACTTCACATTTTCTCATTGTATTTCAGCAGCCAAAGAGCACATTTTCCCAGAATATGGTAGAGTATCACTTTCTCCCTTGGCTGTCATCCTTTCCATGACAGAAGAGGACATTGTGGTTCTTCTCCACTCTGCTGAGACCCCCCCAGCCAACTTAACGTTTTTATAAGATTCTAAATCACATTATCTTCTGGACCACAAATAAGTGTTCAAGAAATGTAAGTTAAAATAATTGTCTAACAGGCTTTAAATTAACATCTTTCCCTTCTATCCAGAGACTAGTGAGTCAGAATTTGGATCACTATCCATAATAGCCTGTAGGAATAAGGTGTTTTTACCTTTACCTTAGATTTTTTTGGTAGTATACCTGTGTGCCATCACTGTTGATGGGTTAAGATGCAGTTCTGTGTATTTCTGTTTTTTTGTTGTAATTAATGTTTTTCTTAAAAAACAAAAATACGATTCTAAGTTTTAAGCTTTAGCCATGTATCTTTCATGGATACAGTCCAAGGTGGGACTTGCTACCTTCTATGTGGTGACTTGGACCACTTAAATGAAGGACAATGACCACAGCTCTGCTGAGACCCCCCTGCAGGGCTGCATCCAGCCCTGGGATCCCAGCACAGCAAGGACAGGGAGCTGCTGGAGCCAGGCCAGAGCAGGGACACCAAGGGGATCAGAGGGATGGAGCAGCTCTGCTGGGAGCAAAGGCTGAGGGAATTGGGATTGTTCAGCCTGGAGAGGAGAAGGCTTTGGGGTGACCTCATTGTGGCCTTGCAGTGCCTGAAGGGAACCCACAGGGAAGATGGAGAGAGACTCTGGACAAGGGCCTGGAGTGACATGACAAGGGGGAATGGCTCCAAAGTGACAAGAGAAGGTTTAGTGTGAATATGAGGAAGAAATTGTTCCCTGGGAGCGTAGTGAGGCCCCAGCACAGGTTGCCCAGAGAAGCTGTGGCTGCCCCATCCCTCAAGGCCAGGTTGGATGGGATTTGGAGACACTTGGTCTAGTGGAAGGTGTTCCTGCCCGTGGCAGAGGGGTTGGGACAACATTCAAAGTCTATTCTAATCCAAAGCATTCAGTGATTAATGCAGAACCTTTTACTAACCAGGATTGTGAAGGCCCATTCTCAAAACGTATCAGTGATATAACCTAAAAATGCCAAAGTTCATCCTTCTTCTATGGCTGGTCCCAAGGGGGCAAAATATTGCACTCCTTAAATTGCCACCATGATAACTCCAAAGAACCACGTTTTCTGCCTTTATTGAGAAACTTTGAAAATCGACATGCAAAGGAAGCATAGGTCAGACTCAGCCCTAGTTTAATTCTGAGCTTGATAGTGCCCCAGGGATAGGAGGATTAGCATGTGGTATAGAGCTGGTTGAAGAGCAGAAGTTCCTCTCTGAGAAGAATTCAAAGTTTTGGTATCATTCTAAATTACCAAAAACTCAAAAAATTTAGAAAAAAAACCCCAAAACAAAACCAAAACTTAGACATTTCTATGGAGAGGAAAATCCAACTGAAAAAAAGGAAGTGGGCCTTACAGAAACATTTTTAAACCCAGCTTTAAAAAAATAATTTTATTCTGTATGAAATATTTTTTAAAAAACAGAAAAGCATTATTTCATAAGTATTCAGGTTTTTTTTTTCAGGAATATCAGATATTCTTTCTCTTCCTCCCCATATCATCGTGTTCTGGTTTCAACCCTGAACGATGGAAGTTTAGGAGGAAGTGATCTGATAATCACAAACCAAAGCAATCTAATAATCATGAACTGAGTTTTCTGTTGAAACAAATTTGAATGTCCAGTTGGTTTGAGGAGAATATGAACACACTCAGCATGTTGCCAGCTCAGGTTCTAAATAAAAATTATGTGTGGGCTGAAAGTCACAGTTTATGAGAAAATTGATCAAACTCTCAGTTTTTAATAGCACACACACCAAGATAAGGGAGTAAGAACGAAGAATGGTTTATCAAAAGCTACAAGGTGAGAATTTATATTTGGAATAGAAAGGTACTGGTTTCCTTCCGTTCTGCAGACCTCTAAACACTTATTTTGACCTAATGTGGTGTGATGGGAGGAGATCAGAAATAGGGCTGTGTTTTCTTCGGCGAGTCCATTTTGATAGCAAACCTGAGAGTTGAAAGCAACTTTTCAAAATGGCAAGTGAGGTGCTCTACGCCGTGGTGTCACCCAAGGAAAGAGTGAATTTTATTTCTGAAACTTCAGATACAGGTAAAAAAAATGTTCATTTTAATATTACTTATTTTCTTTGCTCACTGATGCATTCTTAAAACTTTCACTCTTTCTTAAATCGTTCACAAGCAGCTGAAGTCATGTGGAAAGCCTTTTAAAACTATTAATACCCAACTCTGTTTATTATATATATCTATTGGTGTGGCAGATTCATGTAGAATGAATGCTGAATTCTAGCAAAAGTGAAGATTGACCTTTAAAATCCCATTCTGGCTTTCGGTAAGATGACTGAAATGAGTCTTAAACACATTAATGTTCAGACATTGAAGATCTTTAGACAGATTATTGGAAAATCATTGACAGCTGAAGTTCACTGGATAGATTTCTCTCTCCTGCAGTCCACTTATATTTTGTATTTTAATTTGATTGAGTTTCTTAGACACCAGAAATATTTTTAAATTCTAAAGTGATAGGTTTGTTGCTATTTTCTTTTTTCCTTCTCTTTCTTTTTTCTGTCTTTCTCTCTTTCTCTCTCTTTGTCTCTGTCTCTCTTCTAAACATTCCATGCTGAGAAAAATACAAGTCAAGATTTAATAGAACTTTCTATACTTTTGAAAACTGTTAGTACTACAATTTGTGTATAACCTGCTGATGCCTTCACCTCTAAAACTGCACTGCTTAAAAAAAATTATTTTCAAAAAATAACGTGCAAAATATGGCCATTAAAGGATTTGGGTAGGAAATAATTCATGTTTTTTAAACAAAAGTATCAAATGTTACTTTTTCAATTCTGATAAAAAATTAGCTCCTTTCTTGTTGTAAGACAATTGAGCATGGAAAATTCATTTTAAATTATAATATTCAGAGGTTCCAATAGGAAAGAAAAATATGTCCTGAGTATGCCAGTAAAGCAATATTTATTCTTAAAATTTGAATATGTTTATTCACTCATTGGAACAGAGTATGAAAAGCACCTGTACAAGTATGAAATCCTTGTCTTCCATTGTTAACTCAGCTTGCCCCTTAAATTACATGACCAGTTCTCTGCAGAAGAGCTGCACTGCCAGGACAATCCGTGGAACTCCAGTGTAGAACTGTTCCCTAAAGGATTTATTGGAGATGCACCCTCATACCCAGGACAACTCACTGTGAAAATGTCTCAAACTTGGAGAGCGTAAAAGTTTGTTCCATCTCTTTTTATTTTTTCCCCAACTGTCCCTTAAATTTCCAGTTATATGTTATAGTTTTAAGTGCTTTCACACAGCTTTTAATTCACTTCAGTGAATCATGCTTAAAAACTGCTATATAAATTATTAACTGAGAGCCCCCTAAGCCAAGATCATACTTCTGAAATTTGCCAATATAAGGTGCTTGGAAATTCAGAATCTAAAAAATTTTAGTGGCCAATCATGAGGATAATTATGTAACCGAATTTCACACAAAATGCTTTGCTTATGTTTTAGAGCATGCCAGCATGGTGTTTAGCCTGTCATAATATTTTTTAAAAAATATTTTTAATTGCAATATCTATATTCTCATCACTTCTGTGAATCTTTCATCCCTGCTGATGTCCCAATAAATGCTTTACTTAAATAGCATCCTAAAGCAAGGACTTCCACAGGTTGATTGTAATATCTTGCACAAAGAAATACTTTAAATCAACCTTGAATTTGGCACCTATGAACAGCACCAGTGTGTCCTACTAGTGAGATATAGCAGAAAAAAAATCACCTATCTACATAACTAATATTTTTTTCATATTCCTATAGATATAAAATCATATTTATACATTCCTACAATCTTCAATTTCTTTGCATGTTCCATCACTTTTGTACTTGAGAGCACAAGTGCAGGAAACTGAGCCCTTATCTTCTGCCAGATGCTGTTAAATTGTTCTGACTATTCTGCTGTTGCCTGTGAAAGATGCTTAGTTCTGAAAATGGGTTGGATTCGATATTTCTTGTAAATCTAAGGTTGATCTCAGCAGCTCTGGCACCTTTAGGAGGTTGCTTTTCTTCAGGCAAAAAAAAAAAAATCTTATTTCATACACTATCAGTGAGCAATTTTTTTGAAAGTAGCTCCTGGGGAATGAGGCAAAACATGCAAAACAGCAGCCCTGGAGGCTGTGGTGTGTTGCAGTTGATATAAAAATACAGCTCCTTCCTTCCTTCCTTCTGCTGTCACACCTACCGAAAACTGCTGGGGTCAGTGACACATCCCCACTTTGTGTGTCACTTTGGGGAAGCTGACCCTGACGTCACTTTTTATACTCTCTGCTGTTTGCAAAACTTTTGTAACACAGGATGTGGTAATTTTTATAATGGTTGTGACCATGAGTGTCACAGCTCTACTTGTGGTTTATTAAGAAGTAAACGGAAAAAAATAATAATTTAGCCAAGAAAAGTTGCTAGTGATTAACTTCTGCTTAAAGATTGACAGAATATATAAATGAGTGTGTAAGATATGGAATAACAACAAAAAATAGAATTAATAATAGAGTAGTTTAGTGTATGGTAACTGAGAGTCACCTAGAAAGGTTTGTAAAATTGTCTAAAATTTAATGAATTAATATTATTTACGTATTTATTTATTTATTTGGAATACTGCACTGAAGAACCACTGTTGCAGGAACTCTTCTTGTACTTTCAGCCCTTTTTGTCCCTCCAGGTGATCCAGTCACCTATGCTGAGGTGAATAGGAAATGGAGATCCGACACACCTGACAGCACACCCAAAATTACACATTCAGGTATGGCAACACCACAGGACACTTCACATTTTCTCATTATATCTCAGCAGCCAAACATATTTTTCCAGAGTATGGGAGAGAGTCACTTTCTCTCCTTGCTGCAGGTGATTCAGTCCATTTTTCCCTGCTCCCTACTCCTGAAGGATGCTCAGAACATGCTTAAAATTCATTTTGCACTGGAGGCACTTGAAAACTTTTCTGTTCATTTTAGGAACAATTTCCATGTGCTGCTTTTCTCTTCCGAATGAATTTTGGGTGAATGAACAAGCCAACAATAGTATTTAAAGCACAACTGAGCTACTTTTGAGAAGTAATAGTCAAAAAACAAAAATTCTGAACAGCTTTTTGACAGTTCCAGAAAAATTGTGTGTATTTTCTTACGTTAAAATTTTAAGATACTTTAAACTGTCTCCAGCCGTGCAACCAGCCCTGAAAGAAAATTTTGTTTTGCAAAGTGAAATAATAGATTGGATATGAGTTTTGACTCCTGGGTACGAGGTGAAAATGAAGAAGAGAATATTGCATTATGATGCATAAGAGCAATTAATATATGTATGGAACAAATGTTAGCTGTGGGAAATGCTAGTGCAAACAAACATTTCCACTGGGGTTTAATTTGGCCTCACAACAAGGAAAAAGAAACTGAAAGCTTCAGATGTTTTTTCTGAATAAAAGTGGCAGTCGGGCAGACAAGGGAGTGGGCCAGGTGGAGACCCTGTTACAGAGACAAAACTAATTTACTGGCTTCACTGAAATGCCCTATGATCCTATCCCAGTGGATCCATGCTTGGAGTACAGCATGGAAAGTTGTCAGAAAGGCAATTTTGATACAGGGCCACTGACCTTCTGCTTTTTGTCTCCTTTTTATACCCCAGTCCTCAATTCCTCCCTTCCTTTCTCTGACTGGCTACACTGTCCAGGTATTTTAAAGCCTGAATAGGACCTTCAAGCTTTCCCTGTGGGTCTTCAGATGTGCAATTAACTCAGACAATTAACACAGGGCTTCTCAACAGCTGTGATGATTAAATTTAGGAACAGCCAGGAAAAGGTTTCTTCTGACCCTGAAAGTGTGATTTTTAATAGTTACACACAGGTTTTTATGCATATAAACCTACACACACACGCATATGTATACACACACACACATATATATGTGAAAAATGCATATTTATGATTGGCTTTTTGCAAATGTTACGATTAATATTACATGTGTAATGTTAGAAAGTTATGCTGTATTAATTCTCTTACGTATTGTGTTAAGTGTAGTTTTAGGTTACAACATAACGTTAAAATAGAGACTATGTATGTGGGGGAAGTTGTTTTTTTTTTAGGGATGAGATACTCGCTTTGAGGAACACCTAAATCTTCCAAAGGAGAGGAATTTATGGCTTCTTATCAGAAGAAGCTAATTTCTTCAGGTTTGCTAAGACTTGAAGACGCCAGGGGATTAAAGAAAACAGTTGACATACAATAGACAGAGTTTCTTGTTTAGAATAGAACATATGCATAACCATGAAGGATATATGAAAATGCAACAAGTGTATTGGTTTAAGGGTGAGTCCTTTGTTCACAAGCCATGCTTTTCGTGACATAGTGTCCGAGAGCATCCGGACGTCCATAATTCTTTGTTTTTTATTGTCTTGTAATTGTCCTAACTCTAAACTTTATTACTCTAATTGTATTATTATTTTTATAACCATTTTATTATTATTAATAGTGCAGGAGGGACAATGGTTTTTCATACTCCATAACTCAGAAGAAAAGTTGCCTTGCTTCTGCCCACGGTGACACCCCTGTCCCTTGTCCCTTTGGCAGTGACCTGCTCAGAGAAGTCTCCCTGGTGCTACCTTGTGCTCGCCCTGCTGTTTTGTGCTGCGGTTCTGCTCCTCACAGGCATCCTGCTGGCGGTGAAATGCTACAGCCACTGACTCTGCTGCCCCTCCGGGTAAGCCCTTCCCAGCCCGGCTGGATTCCCATGCCATGCCTTGCCATTCAGGGCACAAGGAAGCTCCCAAATCAAAGGCTGGGATTTTTATGCAGTCACAGTAACGCTCACAGCAGGTTGAGCTTCAGTGAGGTTCTCTAATTCTAGCAGCTTTTGTCTCTTTTATTTCCAGTCAGCACAGGAAGGTTCTGATTCTTCAATGGAACGGGACATAGTGCTTGTTTTATTTTACATTATTTTGGCTGAAGAGACAAAGTGGAGACATGCCATCAGACTGATCACTCTCCAGTTATGTCATCCCAGATCTCTGTTAAACCTCTAACCTCTTCACATATGGACAAGACATATTAATTTTATTTGGAATTTTCTTAATCCCGTAATACCAGCAACCATCCAGCTGTATCAGTGCGTGTATCAAGACATGGGCTCAAGCTCCTGCAGCAAAAAGTGGATTTGGGCCTTGTTTAGACAACAAAAATGACCAGGTAGAGACAATACTTTTAGTTCACATCTGACTTGATTCTGCACTGATGTACAACACAGATAAACTTTTGGATTATATGCAAGTGCAAAAACTTACAGACAAAACAGGGAATGTGAAAGGTTGCACTGAGGTTTTTTATAAAGCCTGGGCTTGGACTTGATTTTTCTTCTTCTGACAGCCTTTAGTTGGATTTGTATGAAAGGGATATTGAAGAAACTAAATGTAGTTAGCAGAGATCTCAGTTTCATTTTCTCATTGCCTTGAATTAAATTATTCTGTTCCACTTGTCCAGAAGAGCATCTCACAATATACTGTTTCTGTCTTGGGGCAGTAATTGATTTTTGTATTTGTTTGTTTGTTTGGTTTTTTTCCCCCACATATCATAGCTTCAGTTAAAACGGAGTCCTCCACTGGAACTGAGGCACCTGAAGTTCAAATGCATTTGTCTGTAATTGTGACTTTATTGTCTGTTTTTATATTATTTCTGGATCTTATCCATTATAACTTCTTTGTGGCAGGCTGCAGAGGATTTGCAGACCCTGAGTAGGAGGAGTCTGTATAGCAAATATTTCTAGAGTATTTCTTGTATCTAAACTTACTTGTACTTTAGCTGTTGCTGCTGTTGGTAATGTACCCCATCTTTATAATATACATATGCACAGAAGTCTATAAAGGGATTCAGTAAAGCACTTTTGCTGTGGTTTGTTTGATTTGTTTTCCTCCAGTCTTCTCTTGGTCAGTCTGGAAGAAAAATAACATTTAGTATTTGTATAAATGTCAGTTTCTGTGGGGTAGCCCATTTATAACACACCTGTTTTATAGATCTTGCTACTTACCCTCTTTTTTGTTTGTTTGGTTGGTTTTTTTTTTGGTTTTTTTGGTTGTTTTTTTGTTTGGTTGGGGGGTTTTTTTGGTTGGTTTTTTTTGTTTGTTTTTGTTCAGATTTACCATTACCCTCCCCTCTTCAAGATAAAAATTTAGGAAAAGAAACCCAAAAAGCCAGAAATGAGACTCAAGACACAGGCAAAATCATATGACTGGACATTTGGTAATATCAGAATATTAGAAATATTAGATGGGTGGTAGAAGACAGTGCAAGATGAGGATAACAGCAACCAGTGAGGTGACAAAACCAAATATACCAATAGTACTTTTAATAATCTTATTTTTTTAAATAGTTGAATACAACTCTGTTTCAGAGGAAGGCCACATGACTCGTATTTTCAGGGAGGTCCTGTTTTTATTATCCAGTGAAGTGGCACAGCCACTTCTGCATTTCTTTTACTCTTCTGCTTGCAAATGTTGTCAACGGCCTCACAAGTACCCTGGGTCATACACCCCTCAGATTTCAGTGTGTGATGACCTGTAGAGAGAAGGAGGACAATTTAATTGATTTTATGACAATTTCTTGGATATTGGCTTTGTAGCCTATTCCTCTGTGAAGTATAAGAGACAAGAAAAATGATTTTTATTGTTCCTGACCTTTTCATCATCCTAAAAATATTAAAAGTTTCATGTCAGGCCTCCAAGTTTAGTCAAAAAAATTTCTTGGCGGTCTGAGAGGGGCCGATTCCCATTCTCACATCCCGTGATGGGGTATCTGGACAGGCTGGATAAATGGGCTGAGACCAAAGGAATGAGGTTCAACAAGGCCAAGTGCTGGGTCCTGCGTCTGGGTCACAACCCCCAGCAGCTCCAGGCTGGGAAAGAGTGGCTGGGAAGAGCCCAGCAGGAAAGGGCCTGGCCCTGCTGCTCCACAGTGCATGGCCAGGTGGGCGAGAAGGCCAAAGGCTGCTGGCCAGGGCAGCAATGGTGCGGCAGCAGGAGCAGGGCAGGGACTGTCCCCCTGTCGTGGGCACTGGGGAGGCCTCAGCCCAAGTGCTGTGTCCAGTTCTGGCCCTGGCACTGCAAGATGGACATGGAGGGGCTGGAGCGTGTCCAGAGGAGGGAACGGAGCTGGGCAAGGGGCTGGAGCACAAGGCTGATGAGGAGCGGCTGAGGGAGCTGGGGCTGTTGAACCTGGAGGAAAAGGAGGCTCAGGGGGGACCTTATTGCTCTCCACACCTCCCTTACAGGAGGGTGCAGCCGGGTGGGGGTCAGGCTCTGCTCCCAGGGAACAAGAAGCCACACTTTTAAGCTGTGCCAGGGAAGGTTTAGTTTGGACGTAAGGCGGATTTTTTTCATGGAAAGGGTGATTAGATATCGGAACCGGCCAGGGAGGCGGCGGAGTGCCCCTCCCTGGAGCTGTCGGAAAGATGCCCGTGGCGCGCTGAGGCGGTGCGAGCGTTCAGCGGCTGGGCTCGCTCCTCTCCGCGGTCCCTTCCAGGCCCGATATCCCCGTGACTGTGCACAGGGCGCAGCCGGTGGGTGCGGGTTCCCGGGGCCGCCCCGCTCCGCTCCCGTCTCCGCGGCAACCGGGCGGGGCAGCACCGCCCCTCGGCGCCGGGCGCGGGGCCGGCCGGGCAGCGGCGGGCGGAGCGTCCCGGGAGCGGCGGCGCGGGCAGCCCCGGCAGCCCCGGCCCTTCTCCCCGCGGCTCCCCCGGCGGCTCTGCCGGCGTTCCCGGCGCCATGTGCGAGCCCAGCAAGCAGGACATCGCCGCCATCTTCAAGCGGCTCCGCTCCGTGCCCACCAACAAGGTAAGGGGCCGGGCCGGCGGGCGGGCAGCGCTGCGCCGCCGTGACACGTCGCACAGCCGGCGGGGCGGGGAGGCGCGGGGCCCGCAGCCCGCCTCATCCCGGGACAGCGGGGAAAGGCCCGGCGGGTCCTCGGGATGGCTGTCACGGGAATGAGGGAGTTCTTCCCTGCCTGCCCCCGATCCCCCCGGCCGGCATCCCGCGTCCCGAAGGGATGAGCGCTTGGGGAGGGAGGTGCGGCGCCCACCGGCTGCCTCTGGTCAGCTCCGCTGGGCATAAAAGCAAGTTCCCAACCAGCTGCAACCTAAAGTTAAGTGTGTGTTTATTTTGGTTTGTGTGTGTTTTTTTTTTCCCTGTTTTTATTATCCAGTGAAGTGGCACAGCCCCTTCTGCAGTGATAAAAGTTTGTTGATTTTCCTCTCGTTGGGCGTGTCCCGAGCTCAGGTGGGTTTTTCCTTGGTGTCACGGTGGTTCTGCAGTGCCCACTGGGCTGGGAAAGGTGGCTGGCCACAAGTGCCTTCAGCTGCTCTGTGCTGCTTGTTTGTGTTGGCTTTGCGATGTAGGCTGAGAACATATGTGAAATATACACCCACCAGGAAACTTCGGATTAGCGTTATGAAGAAACACGTTAGGCGTGTTTTCTGGGAATAGAAATCCGGATGCCTGTCTCTGGTCCAAAACTGACTTCCACTCTCTGAACACAATGCGTTAGGACTGTGCAGGTCTGGTTTCTCAAAGCAGAGCTCAGAGGTGAGCACTCAGTTTCTAACAAAAGTATTCTTGAAACTTGCCTTTGCAGTGGGGTAAAAAGTTTATCAAGGAAAGGTCCTAGTCCCCATGACTGGCACTCTGCCTGGGAATTGAGTAGTTTAGGGCTATTGTGGTGGGGTTTTTTTGTATTGGGATCACAGGAGAACTAGAAAGTACTGCCCCTGCCTGGCAAGCATGGAGTGCCTCGAGCAGTTCCCCTGTGCTGGACTCCTTGTTACTGTGTAGATTTAATCAGGTGGATGTGATACCTGTGGTTGCTCAGGTGTATCTGTCTCCCCATGTCAGATGCCACACAGAAATTCAGTGTTGACATAGCAATAGTAGCACAATGTGTGCTGCCACTCACCGTGGGCCAGTGGCAAAGAAGTGGCTCAGGCACAAAGAACTCGGTAACAGTGCTGTGGTGCCTGGTCTGGGTGACCTAAGAAGGCAGAAAGGGAGAGTGGAAAGCAGCAGCTTAGGTGTCACAACTCTCCCACCTGTCCGACCCTTCTCCTGAAGTAAAAGTTGTTTCTTCCATCAGTTTCTCCTCTCATGTTTGTTTCCTTTCTGTTGTGTTCTTAAGCAGTCTGTCTGCCCCTTTTATTTTTAGGAAAAGAATTCTCATTTAAATAAATGTGCTGTTTAATATGTGGGTTAGAGTGTGTTGAAAGTGATGTTTTAATAATTATCTTGAAATTAACATCTGTAATTTGATGTTAGTTCCGTTTATGATGAGGTTTTGAGTTCTTGGCGTCTTTTGGTGTTACATAATGTAAAGCTGCGTGATGACAGCAGACTGTTGATCAGCTACCTGATGACTTAACAAACACATTACAGTTATTAAATAGGATGTATTTTGTACCCATAAAAATGTTCATAGTCCTTAAGCTACTTCATATTGTTGAGTGTTTGAGCTCTACAGCTCAACCCCTTTGACGACTTGAACACTCAAGGATGAGCTGGAAGTCTGTTTCTGTCAGATCTTTTAAATCTGTTCCTCTGAAAATGTTTTTTCATTTCTTTCTTTCATCCTGTCTCTACTTGGACTCCCAGTGTGCATGTTGTGCTGGTGGTTTATCAGTAGTTGAGTTTTGTTATTACAGTGTATGTTTGGGTGTGGTTTGTGTTTGTGTTGGGTTTTACCCCAGGACGGACTCCGCTATCTTGTGTCCCTGAAGTCATTTTGAGACGATGACACTTCCAAAATGTGCAGTCCTCTTGCCTTCCCGTGGTCAGCACTGCAGCTCCCTCCCTGCTGCATTTCCATGGCCAAAGTCAATACTTTATTTATTTCTTTGTTAATGTAGGTGCTTTGCGCAAGGTGGATGTTTTATGATTTATTAACTGCTTGCTGGTGATTATACCCAAATCTCTGTGTTTGCTCTTGTGCAAACATCTCAGTTAGATCTTTGGCTTTTAAGTGAGTCCTACTGAATCTACACAGTGAAGTGTTTCAACACAAAATAAACAAAAAGCGTGCAAGTGTATTTTGAAAGCACTAGATTATTTAAGCATATCCTTCAAATTTATTTTTAATCCATATTTTAGTTGCACCTAAATCTGTAAAAAAATTACAATTTATCTGGTTTTAAAATGGAAACAGTTTCATAGGGTGGCTCTGAAATTGATTTTAGTTTCTTCCCCCTGATTCTTCTTAAAATTTATCTAGAGGGAAACACTTTAAAAATTGAGAAAACTAAGCGAAATTAGTCTAAATATTAGTGAAACATGCATGTATCTCTGTTGCATAACATTGATGGAAATAGCAGCTTCTCCTTTGCTTCAGAAGAAAATTGGATGTTCCTGCTTGCATGTCAGTCCTGAAAGGTGCATTTTTATGCCTGTGAATAATCTCCACAGGTGTCTGGTGGGGACTCCTGAGTGAGTGAAGATACTGAGCTGTGGCAGCCAACTCCAAGGTGATGCAGTTGACTTTAAGATGTTGAAATTACAAAGTGCTCCTAATTGGAGCATAGAAAAGGGAAAAGAAGAGAATCTTCAGTTATGTTTATGACTGAACTTTTAAAAATATGGGGGTTTTTTTTAACCACCTGCTCCAGATTCTTGTTTCCCATTTGTACTCCAGGGAATTTCCACAAGACTTCCAGCTGTAAGTCAGCTTTGCTCTCCTATATCAGAAGTGAGACCAGGGTTGCTCTCTTGGCTTTGGTTTCAAGCAAAATCTCCTTTTTTGTTGTCCCCATCTTCCTTTGGCCTTGTAAGAAAAAGCCTGGAAATAGTCAACTTAAAAGAAAGATGAGTCTCATGTTTTTTAAGGAGCTGCTTCAAAGAATTCGGAAAAAAAAAACAAAAAACAAACAAGTTCTGGCTACTTAGTCTGTGTGTTTTCTTAGAATATGGCATACATGAAATCTTACTCCTTCTTCTGTTTCCCCCACCCCTTCTGTGCCATTCTTCCACCTGAGCTTGTTTCTGGGACTCCCTCTAACCCCTCCTGTTGTCACCCGTTCTGTGTTGATCTCGTTGCTGCTGGATGCCAGTGAATGCCCCATTTCCATGGACAGGAAAGGGACATGGAAATAGCATTAGTAAGTGTTAGGTCTCTGTTGAGAGGGAAAGGCAGGACTTGAACCTACAGGAGCTATGATCTCCCTGGTTTCTGTGTGTGTTACCATCATTACCTAACTTGGATGAGTTAATGCTGGATCTGCTGGTGAGCTGTGCTTGTGCCTGATAAATTTGGACTGCCCAAGCTGAATAGACCCACATTAAACTGAGGAGTTTAGCCTCAAACTGCTCCTGGGCATGTAGTTGAAATTAATTTGGATGGATGATGGGTGACATGACATGAGCACAGACTCAGAGCTTGCTTGACGGTGTACGAAAAAATAGAGACAGAAATCTCTATACAGGTTTCTAGAGGGAGTTTCTGGTAAGAAGACTTCTTAATTTTATTTTTATTTTGTTGTTCAGCTTGGCAAGGAGGTGCTGGAAGCTCTGGCCTGCTTATGATGTTCCATATATCCCCACCTGTCCTGGAATAAACTTATTTTTTATATCTGCATATAGCTAGAACTTCCGCTATCTGAGGATACATTAAGTTTATAGGAGGATGTTAAAGGGTAAAGTTGGAAATTGGAATGCTGTCAATTTGTGTGTAAAAGCTTATTTCTCTGTGGAGTTATTTGTTAGGTGCCCCTGGGTGGATGCTTTTATTGTAAAAATACTTCTGTGCAGTCTTTGTAGATACCTGTGAAAAAGCATTGATCAAATAAAGTCCTGTCATGCAGGAATAGATGTATACACATGGAATTAACTCAGAATAGCTGTTTCTGTTTAAAGTTGTTGTGTTCCTTGCGTTTGATAATTGATTTGTATCAGAAATTTTTTTCTGTTTCTGACTTTCCTTGGTCTCTTAAAGAAGCACAAAACTCAGAATAGCTGAAAAAGGACTTGAAAGTCGTGGTCTGCTGGCCTGCAGAGTTTATGAGACACACATGGACACAGCTTTTGCTGTTTTGGCTGAATGTTAGATGTCCAACGTGGTGGCAGGGGGTAGGAAATTCCTGGGTTTGTCCATGCAGTAATTGTGGACCTGGTTGCTTTTTAACCAGCGTGGCACAGACCGTGGAAAGGCTGATGTGGCAATTGGTACGTGATGAATCATGCCAATATCTGCAGAGGCTGTCTGGATAAGCAGTGCTCAGAGGCCTTCACACAGCTGGATTGCCATGGCTTGCCCTGAGGGTCAAGGTTTTAATACAGGAAACTAAATAATGATGGCATTAGTCCTCCTGATAACCTGCTGGGGACTCAAAGGTGCAGCATGAGGAGAGCCTGCCTTTGGGGAAATATTTCTTAACCACTTTCCTATTCCAGCAGTGCTGGAAGTGCTGTGTTAAACGTGTATTTGAACTAGGCTGATGTGGGTTCTCTGACCTGATTTCTCAACCTGTGTACAGTGGTTATTTTTGGAAATGGAGAGGTTGTAGTTGTGTGGGCAGATTGTGTAACTCCTCTTTAAATATCTAAAATTAGGATACATGGAGTTGTCATGTCAAACGCTGTAAGAATGAGTTCACAAAGTTGGATCAATGTAGGAGTGTTACATTGACCTGTAATAAAAGTCTAAGGCCTGGTTATGCTCAAGTCCTTTTACTGATGTTTGTTTGCTTGCTTTAAGGTGTGTTTTGACTGTGGAGCAAAGAACCCCAGCTGGGCAAGCATCACCTATGGAGTGTTTCTCTGTATTGATTGCTCAGGGACCCACCGGTCCCTTGGCGTTCACTTGAGTTTCATTCGGTAAGTATTGGTGTGTTTTGACAGTAAAATTCACCTTTTAATAGTCTTGTTTGTTCACAGACCTGCTCAGAGAGGAAACCCATTCTTCCTTCAGCTTCTGGTTGTGTTGACTTTGCTGTATCTGATTTGTGTTCTATTTGCAAGCTTTGCTTCCTGAAGCAGCTCATTGTGGTGGCACCAGAGTTCTGCCCTTCCAAGCCAAACTATTCTGTGGTTCTGGTACATGGGCAGTGCTCAGGCAGTCAGCTGGTGCAGTAAATCTGCACCCTGAGCTGGTCCTATTCCAGGTGAGTGTCCCAGCTGCTGACTCTGGGCCTTTTGGGGTTTGATAAATAACTACAGATTACAAAAAAAAAAAAAAAAAAAAAAAAAAAAGGTGGGAAGAGAAACACTTGGCAAAAAAAAACCAGAAAAAACAGAAACAGAATGATTTTAAATGGCTTTGGTGGTGACAGTAAAAACATTTCTTTGTGTTTAGGTCAACAGAACTGGATTCTAACTGGTCCTGGTTCCAGCTGAGATGCATGCAGGTTGGAGGAAATGCAAATGCTGTACGTATTCCTGAGTATTTGCTTTGCACACGGAAGCTTGGCAGGCTTGGAAAATGTTGTCTGTCCTTGCTGCCTCTCTTCCTGGGATTATTTTTATTTTTCCAGTCCTTTTTCTTTTGTTACCGCACCCCCCTGCCCCCACCTCCCCATCTTTAAAGAATTCCTCTTGATTCTGATTTCATCCTCCATTCTTGCACCTTCTTCATTTTGCTATAGTCTGAAAATGTTTCGGTTTTTTCTTAGAAGACAGTGATGAAAATCACTGCAAAGCCCAGATCAGATTCCTTGTCAGTACATGTCTAATTTGGACAGCTGCTCAAAGATGGCTCGTAAGGCAAGTTTATGGCCCCTTCCTGTGGCCATCATTCCTTCCATGGCTCATGAAAAAACATGCCAAAACCCCCAGAACTGCCAAAAGTCACCCTAGTTCACCTGAGTTAGCACTGAGCACATGCTGCATTGTTGGAGGGGGTCTAGCAGTGTCATGGTTTGGGCCAATTCACATTGGCTGTAACTTTCAACTTGACTTCTTCTGTACTTACACAACGTGTTTGTAAATTGAAGTTCTGTCGACAGCTGTCTTGTTCTCAATCTCCCTTTTTGTTTTTTGTAAGCTCTTTGGCAATCTTTTCCCAGCTTTTTCCACAAATAACTGAGAGTGCTTCCTTAAGTTGGCCCACCCAGTTGGGAACATGCAACTTCCAAAAGCAATTTCTGCTGAATGCCTGAATGCTTATCCCTTATATTTTTTCATTTGTGCTTGGTCATTTATATTGTTTCTTTAGCAAGCTTCACCCAAGCTTGCTTTCCATAGTGTTTTCCTTTATAGTTTTAATATTAAGTCTTGATGGTTTTTCTAATTTTTTTCCTATTTACATACAAAAATGCTGAGTTCAGGGTCATTGTTACTTATCTTTTATTTCTGTATTTTCCAGTCAGATATTTTTCTTTGAATTTGACATGCAGCAAGTCACTGTCTCAGGCTTACAGATCTGAGCAGTTATATAGTGTCTTCTCCCTCTTTTTCTTCTGCCTGTCCTTGCTAAGTTATTCCTTTCTGTGTTAGTACTGCTGTTATATGAATGTCCTCATCAAGTTTCTGTTATGCCACTTAGTACATAAAAATCACACTTTTGACTAATGAGAAGAGAGAGATTTCATTTTTTAAAATAGTTTCTTTTTTAGCCAAATGCTTAAAAGCCTTGATTAAATGATACCAATTCTGCTATGTAAAGGGTTTGAGGCAGTTGGAAAAAAGAGATGGCAAAGCCTGAAAAAGTCTTCTGTTAGTCTTAGAAGGCCTATTAGCAGAAAAATAACAAAACCTTTATTGTTTAATTTTGTGGGATTTTGTCTTCCTTCTTGGATGTCACTGTTTCCTATCATACATTGTACCAAGAGTGCAACATACAAATACCTTAAATTCTCAATGGTCTGGTTTGGATTCCTTCAGAAGATTAATACTTGAAACTTGAAACAACAGATTGGTAAATTGTCTGGACATTTGAAGTAAAATTAAAGCTTTTCTTTTAATGGCACTAAAAAACCATTCCCTTTTGGTTCCAGTTAAATACTAAATTTTAGTTTTACTAACTACTGGCTAGAAGCATTGCTAGATTAACATCAATCTTTTGTGTTCTCTAATTGCCTGATGATGATGAATCCTGGATAACAGCAGTCCTGAGCTTCCTGCTGTGTTTCAGATAGCTAGAGAGTCCTTAGTTCCTTGTGCTTTCAGATCAAATCTCTATGGTAATTGGAATTAGGGTTTCTAAGAAGCCCCTCTGAGTACCAAGTTAGTAGGTGTATACATTTACATGCAGAAATGCACACTCTTAATTTATTAATTTTATATACATACACAAGTCTGTAAACATGCAAACATAGATATATGCATAGACGCCTCTTTCATTTTTATGAAGACTCATTTTGTTACTATTGAACATACATTGATCTCCCCAGCCTGAGAGATGAATCCAAGCAGTGCCTTGTAGAATATTAGGAATATCCTGTGGAGCACAGCTACTGGCAATTGATTTTACCTCTTCTTTCCTCTTAATCACTTAATTCCAGAACAAGGAGTTTTTGTATGTAATGGAAGCTTGCATTTGCATATGCTCTTAAAGCATCACACTGATGTATTGGTTTGGGTTTTTTTTCTGTTTTATTTACATGTAAAGAAGTCACCTGAGTGGAGTTTCCTTTGTACTTTGCAGATTACTTAGACTCCATAATTTAAAAGATTAGATTTAAGCAGAGGAGCAATTTGCTTCATTGCAATATGTTTTTGTGTCAAGTGTCATTAGCTTTTAAGCCTGTTCTTCACAGCATTTTCTGCGTTCTGCTTCCCAGTCTGCTTTTTTCCACCAACATGGGTGCACAACCAATGACACCAATGCCAAGTACAACAGTCGTGCTGCTCAGCTCTACAAGGAGAAAATCAAATCTCTTGCAACACAGGCCACGAGAAAGCATGGGACTGATGTGAGTAGTGTGTGTCCTGAGGCCTGGAGATTCCTGAAAAACTTCCCCTTCTTTCCCTCTGAAGTCACTTTACATTTCTAATCAGTAATACAAAAGATAATCAGTCTTCAAATAAAATGGCCGTTTCTCCATGAACCATGTGGTGGTTTTATTTTGCTTATCTGAAATTGGATGTCTGAAGGAGTACAGCGTGAAAAATTGTAATGGAATTAACTACACACTGTGTGTGATTTAAATGGGATTTGTTTTGAACAGGTAAATTATGTATTTTTTGGTTTTTTCTTTAAAAAAATTCTATCTGGGAAATTAACAAGTTGTGTAGAACTTGCTGTTCTCCATCAGAAATGCTGAGGCAGTTCATGCAAGCTGTCAAAACATTGTTAGGTTGCTGACAGGAGTTAAGCAAAGTATCCAGAATTGGTGTCTGAAGTGTTAAATGAGTTTGACAACAGTTCTTTTCTTCATACACAGAAAACATGTTTTGATTGTTTAATTCAGGTTGTTAAAGTTTGTGACTAGTTCATTTGAAATTGATGAGATGAGTGTAAATTAAAAGCAAGAAGGGTTGATTCTTTTATCTGTGCATCAAACAGCATGAAATATAATAGATAATTATAATCTTAATTATTCATACTATGGACAATAGAATTCACATCGTGAAGTTCAGAGAACATTTCTTTTGACTTCATAAACAGCTTAAGATGTAAAATGTGTTCAAGAAAGTACAATATAATGTGTGTATTTGAGTTTATGGCAAGTTCCCCAAATGACTCTTTGAGGAACTGTCGTTATCTTGCTTCAATTACAGATTCCATCCAGTAGTTTGATATTAAATATTTTAAAAATTCACTAAATATTTAGTAAATACTTTTAGCTGTGCACTGCTAACTAAAGTAATTATGTGTTATTTAAATTACTGAAGTAAATTGTTCAGATAATTGCATTTAGTACCAACCATCCCCTCCTCTGTCACATGTTTAAAAATTCCTTTTCTGACTCAGTGATTAGAGCTGATTGCTGAATGGTGAGGTGAACTTGTTGTCCCTTCACTGTCCTTTGTGACAGAGGTCATTATTCCTGCATGGAGTAGGAAGAGCAGTGAGAAAAGATTTGCCTGTGAGTGATTTTGAAGTGCAGGTCACAGGTTGGAGTCCTGTCTTGGAGCACTCTGGAGACCCCAGCCCTGAGATCTGGCTTAACTCAAAGCTCTTGGCTGATCCACCAGGAGCACATGAAATATGTATGAATTCAGTAAAAAAAGGAGTGTCATCTATTGGACACCAGATAAAATTGTAAGGAAAAAATATGGACAAGAAAAAAAAAATCAATACTTTTTAAACCTGAAAACAAAACAGAGTAGTTTTAAGATTAATGCATTGAAAAAGAATCCATTCATGCAATTAACCTGTAAAATTACGGCCCTTGATTTCAGCTGTGGATAGATGGGTGTGGAATGGCACCAGCATCACCTCAGAACAAAGAGGAGGAAGATTTTTTTGCATCCCATGCTTCTACCAAGGTACGAATTACCTGTCTAATTCCTGCTTGCTTTCTAAACACTTTGGTTGACTTTGAGCTCTATGGTGAAGATTAAACCCTGAAAGAAAACTTTATAGAGAAAAGGTAGGTCAGGGAGTTAATATTTATCTGCTTTTCTTTCTGTGAGTCTCAGAATTCTTCCTGGATGTGAAACACTTCCTAAGGTGATAATTTTAAATGACCCAAATAGTAGCTAAATATGGAATGAAAATCCATTTCTTTTTGTAGACACAACAATTCCACTTGGAGCCAGGATTTCTTGCTTGGAAGTGCTCTGATATAAATGTACTGATATAAATGTACCTTGGGTTTTCAGTCAGCAAAGTGTAACAGTTCTTACAACATTTTCTGGGACCTGGTCACAAACCTGCCTTTTTGAGGGGGATGTGTTTGAAGGGAGTGGGAGGATGCACCAGGAATGTTGGGAGGACTGCTCACAATCAAAAATGTGTAAAAAACCCATTTATGAAGTGCAAGAGCTTCTAGTGGGGCGAAGGTGTGGTGATGATATGTAAGTAAATCATCCAGCATACAATAAATAAATCTATAGCACAGTTAAAATGCATATTACTGGTTTTGATGATAAACAGAATTCTTGAGAGGAGAAATAAAAGTGCTCAGGAGTGGATTGAAACCATCTTGTTTTTTGTAAAGGTAGGCATTTCTTGTAATTCTAATAGCTGCCCTTTTCTGTACAGGTTTTAATCCTAGCAGCTGTAATCATAAGAATTCAGTATTAATAAAGGAGTGATGCTTAGGCAGTCTTTAGCTACGTGCTCCTATTTATTTGGTATATTCTATTTTCTGTGCACTTTTGATTCTGTCTGTTTTTTTCCAAGGCAATGGATACAGAATGGATGTTACCAGAACCAGTTTCTCTCCAGCAGAAAACTTCAGAAAACATTCCAGAATCCTGTGAAGGTATGACTGATTCTTTATTAACAATAAGTTGCATTTTCTGATATTCTCTTAGTTTAGTCTCTTTTTACCCTGCTTTAATAGTTAAATAACCTAAGCATGCTTAATAACACAAGAATTTGGGGTGCCTGCTGCCCTTTTAGTGACTGGGAAAGCTGTGATGGAAGTACCACATTATGGGGTCTCTACCAGGCACTACCCTGAGTACAGTGAGATGTGTTTTAGTACTTCATTCTAAAGAGCCTCCTGATATTCTTATCCTTGTTATTCCTTATCTTTTAGGATCAGAATATGGACCAAGTGTTGATGGCCTTAGCACATCCCCACAGCCTGCATTAGGTAATGAGTGCAAGCAGCAGAAGAGAGCAGCAAGTGCAGGGAACCCAAACATCCCTTTGGACAGAGAATGTCTGCCTAGGAAGAGCTGTGGAAATAGATTTTGCTCCCTTTTCAGAAGTGTGAACATAAAATCTTGGATTGGAAAAATCGTGTGTTGATAGTGCAGTATCTTCAGTGACCAGTTAACACTGAGCAGTTTGTCATACTGTGAGTAAGGAAAAAAAGCTGATGGAAATAGAATAGAATACCTCAATGATTTGTCACTGTGAGGCTTGTCCTGCTTGTTCTGCTTCTGAAAACAAAGTGTTGATTCTCAGCAGCATAGATAAGTGCTGTCTGGGCCTCTTTCAGTTCTTCAGGCAGGTATGGTCTTCATCACTGTTTTTGTTTGGGTTTAGTTATCTCAGAGCTGGAGACTACAAAAGATTTCACTGGACGCACTTCCTGCTTTTCTCATTTGTATCTTTAGCACATTCTCCTAAAGCAAGTGCTTTTCCTGATTGGTTTTGACATCACAAGTTCTGTCTAAAGGGAAGAATTTCTGTTCTGTTTATGCCCCTTTCCACACAAATTTCAGCTCAGAGTAGTTTTTCTGTGTGCACAGGCATCCAGGAGGGTGCTGTAGGAGCAATTGATAATATGACAGTAGGAGCTGTTTATAATGCTTGTGATGTTTTAGTGATGCAGGTATGTTTTATATGTGTCACTGCTGGGTTTCAACACAGCCAGTGCCTTTCTGGACTGGAAAAAACTTCTCTTGGAACTGATGTGAGGTCAGGGGAACCCCAAGTCTGATTCAGAAGAGCAAGTCCTGCTTTCCTGTTCTGTTTACTAGCAGGAATCTGCAGCAGACATCTGAGCTGTAGTTTTATTCTTACTGCATATTTTCAAGAGATGCCAATCAAAGTTAGCTCCCCACATTTTCTTGGAGATATCCACAGCTCTGTTACATAGTCTGATTTAGTATCTCAACCCCTCCACAGTAGAAAGGCATGAAAATAAGTAGCAAAAACTGCTTTGAGGTTGATGTTACAGAAATTTCCTTCTGTAGTTCTGGAATTAACAAGAGTTTATGTTAACTAATGTACATTTAATCCTTGCAGAGAGTACCACCTTCATAAAAAAGAAGCCAAATCAAGCTAAGAAGGGGGTAAGTGTATGTAAACAATGAGTATTTTTAACTGTATTATAGGTCATTTAAAATAGTTTAAAGATAGTTTACAGACTTGCTTCTGCATGGGGTCTTAGCACTTTCTTAGCATCTGGTCTCTGTAAAAAGGCAGGAAGAGAGTTTAGTGTCTCTGAATGATGGTTCAAGGCACAGGAAAACGGAGGAAGGCAGCTCAAGTTTTGAATGTGTGGCTGTTGCAACTCAAAAAACAGCCCTAATAGTCACCCTAGTGCCACCCTAATCATGGGCTGTCAGGGTGACAGCTTGTTACAGGGACTTGCTCCACTTAAGTCTAGGCCACCAGACAGAAGATTTTGAAGGTTTATTGGATCAGAAAATTTAAATTAAATCCCATGATTTTGTGCTCCCCCTAGAAGACCCTATTACCCAAGAGGAATTTTTTATTGAGTGGTTTGTGCAGATCTGTTCCCTTCCAGTGAGAACAGAACTGGGTTGACAGGTGCAGGTACAGTTTGTGATCTGTGTGTGCATGGCCTGGAGCTTTTACATGAAGGCTTTAAACCAATAAAAGGTGAAGATAAATGCATTGTGAATTTTTGCAGGTGAGGAACTAAACACAGAGGAGACTGAGAGCAGCAGTTTGAGGGCTGTGCCACCATTTGAGTCAGCACCATTGCATCCATATTTGCAGCATTAAGTGTTTTATAAATCTGATAACAGTTCCATTGCAACAAAATTCATTATATTCCTATACAACAAAAGAAACCAAAGTTGTTCTGTGTGTTATATTTGTTTGAGCCTGTCAGTCTCTGAACAGTTAAAACCCAAATACTGCCATTTTTCTATGGGACTTCACTGCAAAGCTAACTAAATTTGTTAGAACAATTAGCAGAATTTTGAAGTCCAAAATAAGGAAAGTATTTTCTCTGCTCCAAACTGTCCTTGCTGTCTGCAAGGACTGCTCCCAGACAGGATGTAGTGTTTGCTGTTGCTTTCACATCTGGCTGTTGAGTCAGCTGAGGTGGTTGTCTCAGTTATAATATTGGGGCTTTTGGTTTTTTTCTTTTTCAATAATTCCAGCTTGGTGCCAAAAAAGGTGGTTTGGGAGCCCAAAAAGTGAGCAGCCAAAGCTTTAACGAGATTGAAAAACAAGCACAAGCTGTAGATAAAATGAAGGAACAAGAGGATCTTCACAGTAGTAAGAAAACTGAGAAGGAAGAGCCACTGTAAGTATGAATTAATTATACAATGGTAAACCATGAAGCCTAATTTAATGAGCTAATTGACAGCATTTTAAATACTACCATAGATTAGCATATGCAAATAAAACTTCAGTTCTTCAAAAAAAAAAATGCCCAAACAGACATGGTTAAGATGAGCCAAGCAGTAATTCCCTCAGTGCCTTTTTTGGCTACTAAATATATGGTTATAAAGTTTATGGGCTACTGTAGAAAATTAAGTATTAAGAAGACTCTTGGCTCTTGAATTCTTTTCATCTCATGCTAATTACCTAGTTTATTTTGGTTTGGTGTAGTGAGCTCAATATTATTGAAAGCAGTCTTTCTAAGAGCATGGGGAATATTCAGCTTGTACTTACTGGGTAAGACCAGGGGAAGTTTAAGTATGTCTCAAATTGCCTGATTTTCAGCTGATTTATACTGGAACTGCCTTCACTTTTACCAAAACCCTTTGAATAATTCCGTCTGAGGTCTTAAATCTGGACCAGTCTTAGATTGGTCAACCTTAATTAATAGATACCCAGCCCTAAAGCTCAGAGGGTGCTGTTCCTGATGCCTCTCCTATGTGCTTTTGGTTTTTAATACTTCATTAGTTGTCATCAAAATTATATTACTAAATAGTTGGTCAGTGAACACTTTTACTGTTACAGAGTTTGCCATCCTGTCAGGTGCTAGAGAATCCATTCTATAACCTTTTGAGAAGTTTTCTGAATTGTTACATAATTACAGGATCACTTTTTGCTCATGATACCAAAGTCTTTGGTCTATAATCTCCTCCCCATTCCTTTTGCTCACTTTTATGTTGTCCTTGCAGAAATGAATATTTATTTGCATTAAAAGTGCCAATCACAAGGGGTTCATTTGATGTGTTTTAACCACAACACCATGGTTCTTGGTGTTTGCCAAAAACTACCAGTGGAGAGACTCTGAAGTCACAACTAAATAAAAACAACAAAAAAAAGAAGGACTGTTCATGTATTATTATTCTTTATCAATATTGCCTTTGACTGTATAATTTAGTTTGGAAGGAAGTCCCAAGCAGTATCTTGGGGTTTGTGTCAGAAATGTATAAATCTAAAGATCCAAGCCAACTTTTACTAAAAGGTTCTGCAACCTTTCTGCAATAGACAAAAGCCTCTAAAAATGCTTGTAAGCATGAGGGATGCACATACACTGAGTTTATGGATCCAGTCCCAGTGGAGTCCAGAGAACTGTATTTCCCTGAGATTATCAGTTTGTTGGATACCAAAATGAAAGGAAGGGTAAACTCTGCTAAAATTGCATTTCTTCCAACCAACTTGTGTGGTGGTTTTAATTTTAAAAGCTTGAGTAATAAGCTTTACTAAATTAATTCAATATGACTTTGTTATGTGGCAAGGAGTGTAAGTGATTCTTTTGTAGTTTAATATTTGGAAGGAGAAAGAGTTCTAAGACTTAAATGTGATTTAAAATTCTTACAAAATTTCCTTATCTTCTGCTGTGCACTGACAAGAATTGATAGCTGAAATTACATCTACAAACTTGATCAGTATTCCCATTTGTTTTAATCAACAGCAAATAAGATTTTGGTGTTCATAAAATAGATTTCCTGAGGAGAGCTGCTAATCTTACTGCATACAGTGCTGGTAGATGTTACCAGTTACTCCTTTCTGCTTTGCAGCCTGTCTACCAGCAGCATCCAAAATTTCATTTGCCTTTCTTCTGATAGTTCATTTGTATTTCGTGCCAGTTGAGACTTCTGGATTAAAGTATTGCTGAGTTGCTCATTAAAATCAATAAAAAATTTATCTCTTTTGACCTGACAAATTAAATTTAAGAAGTATTCCTGCAATTCTGTAATCAGGATGAAAAACCTCAGGCTCTGCTGCACTGGTGTGACTGGAAAATATTAAGATGGTTTAGAGGTAAGGGATAGAGACCTAGCTGGGCCCAGATGTGCCTTAAGGGAAGACATTAGAAAATACAGTGCTACAATAAATATTGTAATTTTCTACTAATATTCCTGGGCTGATAATTCAGTGTAGCATTGGACATTTCTCTGGTAACTGTGTTTTTTTTCCAGTGTATCATCTTTAAGGTTGGCCTACAGAGATCTTGATATTAAAGCAAGAGAAGAAACCTTAAACCTCGCTGGTAAGAAGAAAACGGAACTGGAGAGGCTTGGCATGGGATTGGGCAGCAACAGGAGGTATGTGAAGTTCTGGAAACTGAAATACTCTGTGGTTTTATGCACTTATCCCTCATTTTACTCAGGAAATGAAGAAATGGACTAGAGCATGTTATGGAGACTTGAGTAATATCAGCAAAAAATCTTCTCTTTGTCAAAGGGAAGCTTCTGATAGATTTAAGTTCTAACCTGCCAGACAGAGGTCAACCTAGATTGTGTTTTCCAGCTGCCAGAGTGGCTTTTGTGTCCAGAAGTCCTGTCCCTGCTTGAGAGAACAACAGTTTTCCAAGTGTTTCCTTTATTTTAATTCCTCTTTCCTTTAATGTTTGTATAGCTTGGGTTTCTCAGCAGGCTTCAGAAACTAGATTTGGGCTTTGATTTCTTTATTTTTTATTTTTTAGTTTTTTGTTCTAGGGTGTTAGTTTTATCATCTCTTTACATGTTTGTTTCTTTCCTGTCCCCAGTGGCATTTCTCACTCAGTGGCCTCCGAGATGCAGACAATAGAGCAGGAAACGCCTACAATTGCCAAGCCGAAGAAGAAGTACATGGATGATGTGGAAGACTCTTATTTCTCTTCTAGCTCCAGGTATTCTGTAAGCTTTGGATTCTGGATGTGCCCAGAAGTGTATGCAAGTTCCATAATAATATGCACAGTGTTTTGGAAAGTTGGGATGAAGGCAGTTTGATGTTGTGTACACACCCAGCATGTTTTCAGGGGACATCTGAATCAGAAGAGTGGTGGAAAAGTTGGCTTTGCCTTTGTGACAGATGGGTTTGTGAAGGAGGGGAGCTAGCTTTGTTGGAAAAGTGGTCTGAACTATGTGTTTGTAGATTTTATCTTGTCCAGAGTCTTGTCTCTGCTTGCACAGGCAGTTGCCGTATAAACTTTTATTTGCTCTATTCCAAATCCAGTGAACTTTTTGTCAGAATTACTTGTGTTCATTCCTTTTTTCTTTCTTTCTTGTGCTGTTGCCTTCAAATTAAATAAGCATTGAAGTCTGATAATAGATGTATGACAGTTACATCATTCTCTGCATGCCAGATGCACAAACTTCAGTCTTTTTGAGGTATTGTGCTGGGTGTGTTGTGTGGATGTCTGCAGTCCTATTTCAGAGACTTTTATGTATCTGAACATAAAATGTAAGTGGAATATAATTGAAACATTTGTTATCAGGGGATGAATGCAATGCACACTATAAAATATGACTCTTGGGAGAAGAAAATTAATTAAATCTTTCAGGCACTAATTGCAATGAACCAGCTCTTTCTGGACTGAGAGGTGTTGCTTTCATAAACTGCCTTTATTGGATCTGTGTCACAGCAGCATGAGAAATTGCACCTAATTGCTTGTAGACAGGCAAATAAAAGCACAAAGTCTTTTGTGTCACTATTTTGTAGTGCAGTCACTGCAACAGAAATACACACACGTGGGTCCAAGGAAAGTGCCAGCAGTCTTGTAAAATAAAACATTTCAGTGCTTGCCTTGTTTGTTCCCTGAAAAGAACTCTTACTGCTCTCATATTCATCAGCTACCAGCAGGCAAAGGATGAATTATGGAGGAGCCTTTTAATGTGTTGTGGGTCAATGATTAGAGGATAAATTGTAACCTGGCTGTTCCCTGCCCTTGTTGTTCTGGTTGGAGCTGGGAGGATCTAATTGGAGTTGGTACACAAGTTAATTCTCTTTAAAGAAAGAACAGTCAGATTTGGACTTCTTAAGGGTATTGTTATCCTTTATTTCAAGCTGTAACTTTGAAATAGAGTCAAAATAGCTTTAGCATCATCTTAGTATATGCCCAAAAGCAAAATAATTATACTGGATATTAGTGTGTTGATAAGTGAATTAAGCAAGCTGAAGGTCTCAAGGTTTAGACATAAAATTGAGGCCTCTGAAAATCCTGAATTTTGATTTTTTGCTACAGGTAATAAAATCTTTATTAATGCCGCAATGTAAAATTTTATTTTCTGTTAAATGCCATTTTTCTTTCTCTCCCCCACCCCAAATATCCCATCTTGTTCTACTGAATGGTTCCATTCTCCTGTCCCTCTGTGGTTTTGATCATCTTTCTCCCCATCCTGGTCATAGCCAAACCTCAAGTAAATTTCTTCAAGCACAAAATCTTAGTCTTTGGCATTTTAATAGGTTTTAATAGGTAATTTATTTTTTTTTCAAATGCTTTCCACATATGCTGAGGTATGTGTAGGTAATCAAAAGGGAAAAAAAACAAATCATGTACCAGAATTTACAAACATGCTTCATTTTTCCCTCCTTTTCTTTATTTAGTGTTTTCCTCACGGTTTTGATGTGCAAGAGAGGATTGCCTTATTAAATTCAGACTCACTTTCAATATATATGTTTTTAGCATTTAATTTTAATAAAATGCGTGGCAAAACTCACAAGTTGTTAATATTTGGATTAAAAAAAATACAGAACCAGAAATAAAGGCTTTCCTGCCTGTTCTGAGCCGTTGGATTCAACGGCACAAAGCTTCTAAAGCAGTATTGTGAAATCCAAATTACTCACTGATAACTGAAATTTGGGTGAAAACATACCTGCTAGTGAACACTTACAACAGTCATTATCTAACAGCAAATACATTCACACTTTTCAATAAATAACAAAGTTCTGACTTTTCAATAGGTTTTTCTTCATTTTATTCTAGGTACTGTGATTCTTCAGATCTGAGGAGCAGCACTTTTTCTAAATGGGATGACAATTCAGATGCTTTTTGGAAGAAAGAAAATAATAGTAAAGACATTGATATATTGTTAACTTCAAAAAGCACAGGATTTTCAGACAGGTACGCCAAGAAAACCAAACTGATATTTTTCCAGAAAGCCCAAATTTTAATGTGATTTGAGTCCTAGTCATAGTAGCAGGATTTTCTTCAGTCTGTAGTAGGAGAATTTGGCCAGAACTTGCATCAGCAATTTGCATCAGCAGTCAAGGGATCTCCTGACTGAATTTCTTTTGTAAGCTGAATTTCTTCCTTCCATTTTAAGCACTGTTTGTTGTGTTCAGAGCTGTTCAGTGCATGTAGTGGAGGTAATTCCCAAACACTTCCAGCAAAAGAGGAAGTAGACAAAAGATAAGGGGAGAAACTCAGATATTTGCCCTGTTCTGAGCTCATACCTGCTTTGTTTATTGTGTGATGAATCAAAGGAAACCTTGTTAACAAATGAATGAGAATTTGGGGTGCTCATGAAAATTTTTCTCTATGACAACTGTATTTCTGTCTTTGTAACCGAGTAGAAGATGTAAGAATGGGGGGGTGGGGGGGGTATATGCTTGGGTGGTGTTTTCTGCCTTTCTTCATATTTTTCATTTACCTGTACAATGCAGTTTGAGCACTTCAGTAGTTCCTGTTTGATTCTTTTCATTCTGCCACGATGTGGAGGAGGTTTCTCTCCCTGATGCAGTTTATTTTCCTTCCAGACCTGCATCCCGGCGTAAGCCGGAATATGAACCCCCTGCAAACACAGATGAGGCACAGAAAAAATTTGGCAATGTCAGAGCCATTTCATCAGACATGTACTTTGGAAGGCAAGATCAGGCTGATGTAAGTAGGAAACAGTGATAAGTATTTTTAAATGTTAAAATATTCCTTGACTATAAAAATGGTATTCGTGTGAGTAAGAGAGAGGCAATGAATAGTTAAAATTGGCAGAATTACTGGGCTTATAGAATTATGTCCCCTTGATTATTTGTTTGATAGAAATGTAGAAATTTCAGATAATTTATAACTTAATTTTAAGGAATTGCAGTTGCATGTAGGACTGTACCTCCATCATTCTTCTTTCATGACAGAAGTGGTAGACTGTGATTTAGCACTTCTGATTTTTGATAGAATCAGGCCTAATTTGTTCTAGATACACAACCTGATGCCAACAAACCACTGCTGAAACATCTTCCTGCTGTGGATTTGTTATGTGAAAACATCGTTAATGTTGTAAATCTAACCAAGTAAAGAAATTGTGCAGTGAATTACATGGAGTTGAATCAGCCTAGAAGAAAGAGATTAGTATTGTGCAGCATTTTGGAGGCAAGATAGAGATTTTTAATAAAAATTAACAGTGTAAATACTAATGAAAAATATAATTAATGCGTGCAGGGAACTTGGAAAAAGTTGAGTTTAAAATGTCATGTGGTTGGGAGGGTCAGCAGGATGTTAACTGCAGTGCTTTCCCCTTGGTTTCACTTTTTTTAGCCGGTGTTTTTAATGGTTGCAGAGTTTTCCAGCAGTTGTGGGGTAACTATCAGCTGGTGGGACCTTTGGGGTTGCAATGATAAATGTGCCTCTTGGGTAACTCAGGAATGAGGTGGTGGTAAACTCAGTTTTCACAAAGTGATGTGAAAACTGAAATGGGCACAACTTTCAGTATGGTCCACTTCAGTTCTGAATGTCTGTAGTCTCTTAGATTATCTGCCATGAGCTCAAAAGGTGACAGCAAGCTGATAAAATGCTTTTTATTCTCAATTCTTTTCCAGTATGAAGCAAGGGCTCGGCTAGAAAGGCTTTCTGGAAGCACATCCATAAGTTCAGCTGACTTGTTTGAAGACCAGAGAAAACAATCAACAGGTACATATCAAACAGAGTGAGAAGCTGGAGCATGTGGGGGGATGCAGGCCCTGGCTCTGCTTCTGATCACAGTCATCACTGTGTTCTAAGCAAAATGCTAACAGCTCAAACAGGCATGGCAGGTGTGGTCATTGTTTAAAAATTAACCCCTTGAATTTCAAGTTCTCTATTTTTGATTCTGTAAGTTCAGTATTTTATTTTGGGGTTGTGTTGCAAATAACATTTTATTATGCAAATAACATATTTATTATATATTTTGTAAATAACATCTATCGAAGGAAAACGGTATTATTTTCCAGTGAGGTAACACCTGAATGGACACTTGATTAGTTACCATAAGGAGCTCATTAGCTGTCATCATAATACTGGATCTAGGGAAAATCATTAATAAAATGTTGGTGGACTTAAAAATTCCCATGTAATCTGTTGCATGGCATATCCATTCAGTGGGATATTGGTTTCTACCTCTGGCCTTGCAGAATTATTAAGGAAGATCTTCACTTGGATTGTCTGTTTCAAAGATTTTTTGGAGCAGCTCACATGAGAGAGTGTAGTTCATCAAATCAGAAGGGAGAAAGATTAGATTGACTGAAAAGAAGCCCCTTAGGGTATTGAAAATGTCTCATGTTTTATTTCCAACACTTCTTGGATTGTGCAATAATGTGCAATGGAAAAGATGGCAAATGCTGGACCATTGTAGAGGCTTAATCAGTTGACTTTCATTCCTTAACTTTTGAAGAAATTGGAAAGAGTTACTGAAGAACTTGAAATCTGTGAGTAATTATTCAAATAGGCTGGAAAAACAGTGTGCAGCATCTGATTTTACTTTGGAAAAGTAAGAAGGAAAAACCCAAAAACATGTGACTGTTTAGTTTTGGTCCCCTGAAAGCAAGTTTGAATACACTGACTAGCAGAGAAGTAACTCCTGTTACTGATTGCTTAAGTAAAAGTGGGGCTTAGGAATTTGAAATGTGAAAAAAATAATTAAGGAGGGAAGAAGTTACCAAGCAGAAATCACAGTAAGTTGCTTTAACCACTTGAAAAAGCATTTGCAATGTGGTGTCATAAATTCACACTATTTCAAATGCGCAGAAACTTCCTTTCCTGCATGTCTCTGCTACACTCCTCACCCCAAAAACTGAGGGGTGTCCTTCTTGGAGAAATGCTACTGCACTGGCAGTTTGTCTGGTGTGGGATTAATGCCCAGACTATCATTAGTTCCGTAAAATAAACGTGATCAGGACACTGTCCACAAAACCACCACTGTAGTTCTGGGGTCCTTGCCAGGATAAAACATCCTTTGCTTTAAGGTTGTTTTTATGAGCACTGATGAGGTGTCAGGGTAGAACAGTGTACAGAATGCTGTAGAGAGGTTTTTAACCAAAGAGGGGGCTGCAAGAAAAGGCCTTTTTGCATTATTTCAAAGCTGATGCTTATGAAAGTCAAGTGGCTGACTTGGAGGTGCTGATTTGGAAGGAAACCACAAGGAAAGGAGATGCTTTCCTGCCTTGTTTACATGAACTTTCTCAGACCAACCAAACTTAGCCAGCAAATGATGAGGGAATTCTTGTGGCTGAGAAGTGGTTGGAGCTTCTCAGTTTACTTATAGCTGCAGATTTTATTTCTGTGACTGATCTTAGTAACAGCAATGCCTTAAGCATTCGATGAGTGGAACAGAGCGTAAGGAAGTCCAAATTACAGCTAAGAAATAGGGCTGTCTGAGGGAACTCTTGAAGATAAAGAGCATCTATAATACTATAAAACCATTCTGGGTTAAGGGATTAGAGTGGGAAGTTCTCTGACTGAGACAAGTAATCTGTGCTACAAACCATCCTCTTACCTGAGGTAAAACAAATTATCTCCAGGATTGTCTGTCTCAGCCTGCTAAGGAGGCAGTGCCTTTAACTTCCCAGGACAGAGGAGCTACAGGTTCCCTCTCCTTCTCTCTCTTCCTCCTCCACCCCTGTTGGAAAGATTAAAAGGAGGCTCCATTTGGAAAATGTCTGGTTTGGGATGGTCACTCCCTGGAGCCCCATTTATTCCCGAGATCTTTGGGGTGACCTCATTGTGGCCTTGCAGTGCCTGAAGGGAGCCCAGAGGAAAGATGGAGAGAGAAACCTTGACAAGAGCCTGGAGTGTCAGGACGAGGGGGATGGATTTAAACTGACAGAGGGGAGGTTTAGGTTTGATATTGTGGAAAAATTGATCCTTGTGAGGGTGGGGAGGCCTTGGCACGAGAAGCTGTGGCTGCCCCTGGGTCCCTGGAAGTGTCCAAAGCCAGGTTGGCTGGGACTTGGAACATCCTGGGATAGTGGAAGCTGTCCCTGCCTGTGGCAGGGGGTTGGAATGAGGTGATCTTTAAGGTTCTCTCCAGCCCAGGCCTTTCTGTAGTTGACTCTGTGATCACTTTTCTGTCATTCTGGTTTGCTTGGATTTGTGCCTTTGACAGCATCAAAATTATCATAGTATCATAGCATCAAATTATCAATAGTATCATTATTTGATACTAAGGCATGCCAGTAATTATTTTCACCAATGAGTGGATGATAATAATTGTTAGTGTGTTAGTACTTAGCACACAGTTAGTTTAGAGTCCAATTAGAGTAGTTAATTAATTACCTTTGATTTCTGTTAGCTTTAGACCTGCACTTTCCATAATAACAGCAGAGCTAATTCTGTCCAAATTTTAAGGAAGGCTGGATTGCCAGCATTGTTACGGAGCTTTAAAACCTAATTTGTTTATATTTACTGTAATTTCTGTGGATTTTTCCAAGCCTCAAATGTAGTAATGCAAAATGTATGTGTTTATACAGCATGGAAGTCATCCCTCTGCATACACACAAATAGAGTTCATCACTTCACCTCTGAATGCACCTCTGAAGTGCATTCATATTTAAATTGCAGGGGGATGACAGCTGTTGAGGATACAAAACAACATTGTCACAATCTTGAAGTACAGAATAAGACTAATGACTAGTGCTCCTAGTCATACATTGTACTTTGGGGAGGGAAAAAAAAAAATATTGATTTTTAATATAGAATTCTGTTTCCTCTGTGTGTGTTCTTCTTTTAGGAAGCTACAATATTACCAATGTCTTGTCTTCAGCTCCTGATATAGCTCAGTTTAAACAAGGAGTGAAATCTGTCGCTGGAAAACTTTCTGTCCTTGCTAATGGAGTCATGACATCTATACAGGTGAGTAAAAATGTCACAATCTATAAACGAGCAGTTGAAGCCTTTCTGTAGTAATTTAGTACCATGGATCCTGCCACTGAATTATCTTTAGGGAGAAAAGAATTCATTTGGTTTTGAACTCTGTAGACCTCTCAAAGTAGACAGTAAATCTTTGTCATTTAGAAAAGAAATCTGTATCTGCTAGCTCACCTTCATTAGGATGTCTCTTTTCTTACAATTAAAACAAAAAATTCCCTCATGAAAGTTATTTGTTGTCACTCTATTTTAAACTCGTCACAGTTCCTAACTCAGAATGGAATAGTTTGGGTGGGAGAGATCTGCAGTGATCATCCAGCCCAACTCTTGTCTTGGCTCTTTAGTTGACCTTTGATCCATGGTTTTGCACTAAATAAGCCATCCTGGCCTCAGTGTGCAGCATGTTTTGTGCTCCAGCCACTTGGCAATTCCTGTATGAGGTCATTGGGAGCTCTCAAATGTTTGAAAATCAGGCTGATTGTCCTGGAATTCTGCCCCAAACTCCAGTTCTTGGAAGCACTGGTCAATTTTCTGAAAGTCTGGAAGACTTCAGCTGCTATTTATTGCACAAATGGAAATAGAACTGATTTCTTTCCATGGAGAACCCACTCATATCTGGTTTGGTATTTGTTTTTGCTTTTCTAGGATCGATATGGTTCCTAACTGAAGCTAAAGAAGGATTCCTCTTCAGGCACACAAGTAATCACTGCTGATTCAAATGAAGGTTGCCTTAAGACTGATGATGTTTTTACCTGTTTCTTAGTGCAGATTTCTGACTCAGCCTTTTCTTTGTGCTGTTTCATCATAACAGAGCAGAAATCTTGCAGCAACTTGTTACATTGCATATACTTTTTTCTTCCTTTCCAGTCTTTATTTCTTAGCAGCCTTATCGTTAGATAAGCTGGGAGCTTTATTTTATTACTGGCTCATTCTGTGAGGCAGGAAGGAGAAAGGAGGTGGTGGTGTTTAGTAGACTGTAGCAAAATATACATTTGAATTAAATCTGTGTTGCCAGGAAGTAAAAGCTCCTGAAGTCATAAATTGATGTGCATTAAAATGGTGGGGAATTAGTGGTTTAAAACAGTATTCCAGCTAGAAGGTTCTGTGCTTAGATGTGAAATGTGGAGAAGTCAAAATGTGGTATTGCTGAATAGTGGATTTCACCTTGTTGTGGGAACAGTCTATTTATTCCTAGTTTTGAAAGTTTAAAAAAAATTGCCATATAGAATCCTTAAGTGCTTTTAAAAATTCTGTATTGTGTAAAAATTAAAAAAAAAATAAACTTGAAATATACTAAGGGCCTAATAGAGTAGTTAATTAAATAATTGTTTAAAATGTTTAGCACAATCTTAGATTTTTGATAAATTATCAATTACTGAATAAGGAGATAGTGGGGCTGTGTTTTAGACAGTCTAGAATTTATTGCTGATGACATCCTGCATAAAAATTATGACCTTAAAGAAAAAACTTTTCAACGAAGAATTAATTCAAGTTAATTCTGTTCTGTAATTTTCTTAATTCAAATTTGTAAACTGCTGATATCTAATAAAAACAATTGGTATAAACTCAGTTTTGAATTCAATTTCTGTGTGTGGTCATAAGTATCCAGCTTTCTAAACACTGTCATCTGTATTTTCTCTATACAGTGGTCTGGTAAAATCAGCCTTTAGTCAAACTTGCTTTCTTATTAAATTGCTGTAGTGATTTAGAAATCTTAAGTACTGAAGGTGGGGTAGAAAATAAACTACTGAACTGAGATACTGTGTTAAATACAGTTAACAGTGTAGCTGTATTTGGGATTTCATTTCTACCTGTCTCTTACCTAATTCCCACTTCTGATAACCTGTTCTTGTGGTTGTTTGGTTTAAATTTATTGAACAAATTTATTCCTCAAAAAATTACTTTTCTTTTTTAAGAGAGTTCCAACAGGAGCATTTATTCTGCCTAATGGTACAGCTTTGCAATAAAAGATTTTCTCCTGCCCTAAAGAGATGATTTTGGTAATGTAACAGAAAAATGCAGTACTCAGAGCATGCTTCGGTTTTCCCTAATTACAGGTCGCAGTTTTTGGCTTTCAAAGCATTCTTCATTTGATGGTACACATAAATTTATTACAGATAATTAGTGATTAAGATCAGCTTTTGGAGTTGTGATACACAAACAGCATCCAAATTTGCAGAAAAGATGCTCCTCCAGTGTCTGGGCTGCATATTCAGACATCTGAGGATGGATGCAGATGCTTCAGTTAGGGCAGAGGAGTGTAAAGAGGTGTAGTTCTGTCCTCATTTGTAACAATTTGTGACTTCAGCTACACTGCAGTAAGTGTGGCCTGGTTTTATGCACTGCTGCAAACCACTCCTAGATGGAAAAATACTATCTGTCTATCTGTCTGTCTATCTATTAATCTATCTATCTATCATCTGTCTATCTATATGTTTTTGTGACAAGCTTCTAAGGGAGACTTGGCATTGGTCACCAGTTGTGTTTTGTTGCATTTCTTCTTCCCTTAATTCCCTCTTCCCACCATTCCACATCTTGCTTTCTCCAAAAACAGCAGCAGCAGGGAAACATGCAAGTTAAGCTTCCCTCTTAAAGTCCTGTAAGGACACTGCATATAAGGGGAGGGGAAAGAGAGTTATTTAATACTTTGTATTTCTGGGAGTTTATTTTGGATGGTTAAATTGAAAGAGCTAAAAAATATTTAAACATCAGAACAAGGATTAATTTCACGGACACTCAGTGGCACTGCCTTTGTCACCCTGCAAGGTCAGCTACATCTGTCAGTGATCCCCTTAATTCTCAGGGCTGGGGTTGGGACTGGGGTGCTCAGAGGAGTGGCTGGGGGGCTCAGCCTGGAGAAAAGGAGCTCAGGGGGGACCTCCTGGCTCTCCACAACTCCCTGACAGGAGAGGCAGCCAGGGGGGATTGGGCTCTGCTCCCAGGGAACAAGGGACAGGACAAGGGGAAATGGCCTCATATTGTGTCAGGTAGAACAGCAGGAAGAAATTCTTCACAGAAAGGCTGATTGGGCATCAGATGTTGGAGTCCCCATCCCTGGAGGTGTTGAAAGAAAGGCTGGATATGGCACTCAGTGCCTGGTTGATAAAGTGGTGTTTGGTCCCAGGCTGGACTCAAGGATCTCAGAGGTCTTTCCAGTCTGAATGATTCTGTGACTGTAATGAAAGGCTTCATGCTCTGGCAGTCACTTGCAGCCTTTCTGGCACCTCACCCAGCCACCCCAGGGTTGTGTGCCCCATGCCCTGGCTTTGTGTGTTCCGTCACAGCAGGAAGACAGACCATGACTGGAAACCCCAGACAGGGCATCAAGGCAGGGAAGGACTGGTGGCCCACCAGCCTGGCTGGGAAACACAGACTGGGGGAGTTCAAGAGCCTCTGGACTTGAACTGGCTCTGCCAGGAGTTGCTGGAGGGGTGACCAAGCAGAAATCTGGGCAGAATCAAGGGCTGAGCTGAACCCTCACTCACCTCCAGGAGCAGAAACAGCATCATGGTCAGGAAACAGCCTCCACAAACTTGCCAGCTCATCCTCTTCACAGGCTCTCGGTCGTTCCTAGCAGGACAGTATTAACTAAGTCCTTTCTCCCTCAGAAATTTGATTTCTCTGTCCTGTTTGCTCACTTTGCCTTCTCCTTATTTCCTGTCTGGACTTACCTGTGCTCATGTCTCAGCAATCCTGTCTCCCAGTTAGGACACACTGGTTTTTGTAGCCTCTGACCTCATGCTCTCAGCACTTTTATCACCCACCCTTCTCTGCCTTGCTTCCTTTCCCTCAAGTGCCATTTGCCTTGCAGTTACTTTTAGCATGATGAAGCCAGCTTGGTGGGTTTTCTTCCCTTCCTTAATGACATTAATACCACTTACTAATACCATTTGCACTTCTGTGCTCAGTTTCTTTTCATTTTCCAGGACCTGATAGACAAATGTAAGAAGTTTGGGATCAACACCCCAGGTCAGTGTTTGAGGTTCTCAGTCTGCAGGCTTCAAGTAAAATGTTCCTGCAGTCTGGGGGTGGGTGCCCAGCAGCAGCAAAGGCAGCAGGGCTGCAGAGCTGAACCTGCAGGCTGGGGTTTAACACACTCAGCCGAACAGGTGATTTTCTTTTAAAATCAGACTTTTCAGGTGAAGGACATCTTAGATGCACTTAAGTGAAAACTAAATAGACTGATCAGAAACACCAGGAGGAAATGCTCTCTTCTTATTTCTTTTTATTTCCCCACTTTTTGTGTGTGTGTGTGTTTTTTGTTTGTTTTGGTTTGGGTTGTTGTTGTTGTTGTTGGTTTTGGGGTTTTTTTGTGGGTTTTGGGGTTTTTTTGGGTTTTTTTTTTTTTTGGCATGAGCAGAGCAGAATCCAGAAAATATTTTGTTGACATCAAGGATGAATTACAGCCGATTTCCCAAATTGTTTCCAGTCTTCCTCCTCCACTGGTACAGGAGAGGAAAGATCCCTTCCCTAGGGATGGGGGGGTGGGGGGGGGGAACAGAGCCATAGATAAAAGATGTCCAGAATGAGCTCAGAAATTCAGACTGGAGAAATGCAAGGAAACTACACCAAAACAGCATCCAGTAAAGTATCTTCAGGGACATTCCTGCTCGCATGAGACTATTCATGTTATGCAAAATCCAAGTTTTCACTAAAAAAGAATTTTAAGAAAGATTTCATGGTCATAGTTGAGGAAATAAAATGAATGTAACTAGGAATTCTACCTAAGGTTTATGTCCTGATTCTCCACAGCCCTTCCCACTGTTCCAGTGGTTCATTGATCCCTCCTCTGTGATGGCCACAACCAGGAGATCCACACAGAGGGGTCCCAGAGGAAAAGTAAGGTGAGGTGTGGTAACCAACCACTCACTCAACCACAGCAGCTGCCTCATTGGGTTTCCTCCCTTTTGTCTTAATTTCCCTCAGCAGGATGGCGAGATGGAGGGTGATCTAAAGCTTCTTACTCATCTCTCTGGCATAAGGCCCTCCAGGTAAGATGAAACAAGCTTTTGTCCTCTGGCCCCCACTAAGGAACCCAGCCACTATGATTTCTCCTGACAGCAGAAGGGTTTCTTGAAAAGAAGGTCCAGCAGTGGCACTTGTTGTGATTTTTAGCAGGACCCACTTGCCCTCCCCAGCCATTGTGTCCCCAGGTGGGTGACAGCCCCACCAAGGGAGCAATTTCAGGCTAAAGGTGGTGGAACAGCCGTGGGGAAGCTGTGCCCGAGCCTGGGTGCCTGCAGGGAAGGGATCCCTGGATCCAGGGGGCAGACCCCACCACAACCACAGAGACGCCCACCCTGGCAACCAGGTGCTGTGGCTGGGAGGGGCAGGAGGCTCTGGGGCCTGTCCTGCTCCAAAACCCGGTGGTCAGCCAGGGGCAGGGGCTGCTGAAGTGAAACATGCTTTTTTCAGGAACATACTTGGGAAAATCTGCTGAGATGAGTAAACAGCACTGGCTCACTATTTTAATTTCCATTTGGGAGTGGCTTTGAAGCTTTAAAATCCTTTCTGCAAAGCTTTTTGTCACTGCTACAGCATTCTGCTTCCTTCCCTCAATGTGTGAAGATGCTGGGACTTTGTATAGGAAGCACATGTGATACATGGCTAAAGAGAGGAACAAAACTCAGCGGGACTCATTTCATATGACAGAAGGAAATCCCAGAATGGATGGAAAAGTGGAATGCTGGAACGATTTGACTTGGAAGGGACCTTGAAAGCTCATCCTGCTCCACCCCCTGCCATGGGGCAGGGACACCTCCCACTCTCCCAGCTTGCTCCAAGCCCTGTCCAACCTGACCTTGGACGCTGCCAGGGACAAGGCAGCCACAGCTTCTCTGGGCACCCTGTGCCAGGGCCTCACCACCCTCACAGGGAAGAATTTCTTCCTAATACCAAACCTTAATTTTTTCCTTCAAAACAAGGTGAGTCTGAAAACTTCTTTGCTAAATTCTTACTTGTGTTCTGTCAAAAGAAAACCCAATCAATCAAAAAATACTAACAGGTGTCCTTTTTCTCCCCTCCTTCCCAGCAATGTGGCATCAATTCCAGTGATGGGGAAAGGCTGGAAGAAGCTGGATTTCACACAGTGGAGGCTCTGGCTTTTGGAACAGAGAAGGAGCTGCTGAACATTAAAGGCACCAGTGAAACCAAAGCTGAGAAAATCTCGGTAAGGATGTTCTGGAACTTTAACCCATCCTGATTTTCCTTCTCTCTCCCTGTCAGGCTGTACCTGCGACAAGGCCGAGGTGAGGCCAGGATCTGTAACACCTCTGACCCTCCATGTCTTGGCAAAGCTGAAGTTTGCTGTCAGTGCCGATAGAATGGGTGGTGCTAAAGACTGAGAACTCCTTCTGCGGGCACGGGGCAGGGCCGGGAGCTCCCGGGCAGCTCCCCCGGCAATTCCCCGCCGCTCCCCCCGCATCCCGCCCGGACACGCTGCGGAGAATCCCGGCGGCCACAGCTGGGAACTCGCTGAACTGGGAGCAAAGCTGAAGGGTTTGTCCAGCGAGAGAGGCGGTGATTTACAGAGCAAAGCAGAGTGGCATTCCACACCGGGAATTCGGGATTTGGGATGGTCCCAATCCGTAATCCATAATCTTTCTGTTCGTTTTCTTTCGGATGCTGCAGCCTGACGGGCTGGGGGAGCTGCTCCTTTCCGTTCCCATTTAATTTTCTGCATTTCATGAATTCTCTGTGGAAGTCTGCTTTTAACAAAAAGGCCCAGGAGGACATTGATGACATCCCGCAGGCGTGCTCAGACCCAGGATTGTTCTGGCTGGCAGAAGCTGCACCAATCTCCCAGGAATCTCAGTCTGCATTTTCTTTTCTCCCGGTTCTCCCAATCCTCACTTTGGGGGTGCAGTGCAGCCCTGCCCTGTCTATCTCTATCTAGAAGAGTTTTGGGGTTAAAAGTGTTCTTTTATATTCTGCAGTGTTTATAATTCAATTAAAAAGAATAAAACCATATCAATGTGGTCTGGACTGGTTTATTTGCATTGGCTAATTAAAGCAAATAATTGAGAAGGGGTTTGAGCAGCCCTTGGTTGGAGCTGGCAGCTCTTCCTTGGTGTCTCTTCATTCTCTGAATTTCTTTGAATTATTCCTTAAGCAGTTTCTGCAATCAGGATACACAGTGAGGAGAAACAGCGCTGCTGCCCTGCTGGATTGGGAAATCCGAGTCCAGTCCCTCAGAGGGATTGAGGGAAGGGGAGCTGAGCCTCAGGCTGGGATTTGGGAGCAGGAATTCAGTGAGGAGGGGAGAGGGGAGATCCCCCAAAGCTGGTGAAAGCAAATTCTGCTGGGTTTGGGTGCCCCCAGCCCAAAAAATGATCCCGGTTAAAGGGGACTTGAGGAAGCAGCGGGATGTGCTGGGGGGCTGTGCTGGAACCCCCAAACCCTGGGCAGGGATGCTGGACAGTGTCAGCTCCATGGGGACACTATGGAAGGTCCCTGCTGGGATGCCCAAATTCCAGCCAGGAATGCTGGGCACCGCCAGCTCTTGGGAACACTGCCTGATCCCGAGAGTTTTCCCATTATTTCCTGTCGTGCTCAGCCCCTGACACTTCATCAGAGACCCAGAGGCTTAAAGTCCCGTGGAGCAGCTGGAACCGCAGGCGGGCACACAGAAGCCGGTCCAGGGCTGGAAATGAGCTGTCCCACGGGTTTATTTTTCCCGAGGGGTTTTTCATTTAGAGCAGAACACTGCCCGCGCCCCGACCCCCGGCCCGGCCCCATATCCTTTATTTCCGGGGTTTCTCCAGAGGATTTTCTGCCCAGGCTGGATGAGGGATTCACACACACTGCCCCGGCTCTGCGGGCCCGGCGGGGCGAGCCCGGGCCCGTCCCGGCGCCGACCCCGCCCGGTGCTCGGCCCCGGGACCCCGCGGCCACGGGCGGGCCCCGGGCCCGAAGGTCCCGGCCCCGGTTCGGCCCCGCCGTGAGGGGCGGGAACGCGGCGGCGGGCGCGGCCCCGGGCCCGGCAGGGCGGGGCTCGATGGGCGGGGCCGGGGCTCGGTGGGCGGGGCCGGGGCTCGGGGGGCCGGGCCGGGGCGGGGCCGCAGCATCAGGGGCGGGGCCGGGGCTCAGGTGTGCCGGGCCGGGGCTCAGGTGTGCCGGGCCGGGGCTCAGGTGTGCGGGGCCCCAGGGCGGCTGCGCGGGGCGGGGCCGAGATTATTTAACTCCCGGCAATCACTTCGGCCGCCATTTGCTCACTCAGAGCGCGGTGCGAGCGGAGCTCCCGTGCGGGTTCGGCGGGTGAGGCTCGGGTGCTTCGGTCTCCCCTCCTGTGCTCCTCTCTACCCCTCCTTCCTTCTCCCCGTGTTCCCTTTCTTTCTCTTCCTTTCTCCCCCTTCCCTCTCCCCCCGAAACTCTTCCCTCCTCTCTCCCCGAACCCGACCCCCCCACTCCTTCCTCTCCTGTCCGTACCCCGCTATCCCCTTCTATTCCCCTTTCCTCCTCTTCTGTCCACTCTCCCTCTTCCCCCACCTGCCCTTTCCCCTCCCGCTGCTCTCCTCACCCCGACCCCCCTCTCTACCTCTCCTCACCCCCCATCTCCTCTCTCCCCTTCCTTCTCTCTCGTTCTCTCCCGCAGCCGCGGGGTTGGGGGTGCCGGAGAATAAAGCCCAGAGGGCCGGAGCCCGGCGCCCCCCGCCCTCGCTGGAGTCCCCCCGACACGGGGCCGGACCCGCCCGGCGGGTCCCCCCATTGCAGTGTAATACACGGCCCGACACTGCCGGGGTGCGGCTGTCCCGACATCACACTGGGGGGTCGGGCTGGGGTCAGGGAGGGCCGGGGGGAGTGGGGTGGGGGTGGGTTAGGGGGGGCTCCCTCCTTAGGAGGGGGTCCCGGGGGGGGTCAGGGAGGGCCCCCTCCGGAGGGGGGGGTCCGGGGGGGGGGGGGGGCGGAGGGGGGAGTTCCCCCCTCCAGGCCCCGCCCCCTCCCCGGGACCCCCTCGTCGGGACCGGGACCCGGGGGGTGGGGGGGGGTGGGAGGGGGGGGTGGGGTGGGAGGGGGGGGTGGGGTGGGAGGGGGAGGTGGGGGGGGGGGAGGGGTGGGAGGGGGGGGTGGGGTGGGAGGGGGGGGGTGGGGTGGGAGGGAGAGAGGGACGGTGCGTTCGTTCGTTTGCGATTTCTGTCCGCGCGCAGAGTGACGTGACCCGCTCTGCCACCCCACCCCCCCCCACCCCACCCCCTCCCACCCCACCCCCCCCCTCCCACCCCCCCCCCCCCCCGGGCCCCGGTCCGGAGGAGGGGGTCCCGGGGAGGGGGCGGGGCCTGGAGGGGGGAACTCCCCCCTCCGCCCCCCCCCCCTCCCCCGGACCCCCCCCTCCGGAGGGGGCCCTCCCTGCCCCCCCCCCCCGGGACCCCCTCCTAAGGAGGGAGCCCCCCCTAACCCACCCCCACCCCACTCCCCCCGGCCCTCCCTGACCCCAGCCCGACCCCCCGGTGTGATGTCGGGACAGCCGCACCCCAGCACTGTCGGGCCGTGTATTGCACTGCAATGGGGGGACCCGCCGGGCGGGTCCGGCCCCGTGTCGGGGGGACTCCAGCGAGGGCGGGGGGCGCCGGGCTCCGGCCCTCTGGGCTTTATTCTCCGGCACCCCCAACCCCGCGGCTGCGGGAGAGAACGAGAGAGAGCGGGGGATGGAGAACGAGAACAGGGGAGCGGAGGGGGCGGTCAAGGGGACGGTGACAAGGACAGAGGGCAGGTGGGGGGAGGTCGGGGTGTGCGGGGCACCAGGGCAGGGGACTCGGGGAATGGCAGCGGGGAGGAAGGAGGGGAAGGATTGAAGGCGGTTTTGGGGGAAAGGTATCATGGAGAGGTACCAGGAGGAACCACGGTGGGGGTGAAGGAAGGGAGGCAGGAGAGGACGGAGGGGTGCGGTAGGGTTGGGGTGTGTAGGGGGATGGGGGGTAGGGGGGACCCGGCCGGGGGGGAGGGAGGGGAGGGCTAGGGGGGAGAGGGAGGGGGGGGTAGGGGGGGGGAGGGTGTAGGGGGTAGGGGAGGGGAGGAAGGGAGGGGAGAAAAGAGAGGTATAAAGAAAAAGAAATACAAAAGAAAAGAAACGTAAAAGAAATATAGAGGAAAAGAGATATAGAGCCCAGCCCGGCCGCAACCACCCGCCCCGAGCGCCGAGGAGCAAATGGCACCGCCGGGTCCCGCCGCGGTTTAAATCCCCTCAGCCCCGCCCCGCGCAGGCGCTCTGGGGCCCCGCGCACCTGTGCGGCCCCGCCCCTCACACCTGTGCGGCCCCGCCCCTCACACCTGTGCCGGGCCGGCCCCGCCCATAAATCCCGGCGGATCCGCGCCCGCTCCGCTCCATGCGGGAATGATCGGCCCGGGGCGCGGCGGGAGCGCCGCTCGGAGCGCTGCGCGGAGCTCGGGGCGCTGAGGTGAGGCCGGCACCGGCATCGGGGCCCGGAGATCTGGATCCGGGTCCTGCCGGTGTCTGCCGGGGGGTCCCGGGCGGAGCCACTTCTCCTCGGCGGGCGGGATACGGGATTTGGGCTGGGATGGGGGACTGGGATCGCGGCGTCGGGAGGAGCCGCTCCGGGACGGGCGCCGGGACCGAGCCCGGCGCTGCCGCTTTGCTCCCGCTCCGGCCGGTGCGGGGCTGGGGTCCCACCGCGGCTCCGGGATGGGCGCCGGGAGCCGGGGCCGTGCCGCTGCCGGGCCCGGGAGGAGGGCGGCGTTCCCCGGAGCGGCGCTGGATCGCGGCTGGAAGCGGACCCGCGGCACCGGCCCCGGGGCGCCGCCGGGCGGGCGCGGAGCGGCGGCAGCGCCCCCGGTGCGGCCCCGGCCCCGCCGCGCCCCGGGGATGCGGAGCCGCCCCGGAGCCCCGAGGTCACCGCACCCCCCTGGGCGGAGCGGCGCCCTCCTGCCCCTGCCCCGGGCCCGAGCCCCCGGGGGCTCCGCCGAACGAGCGGGGCTGGAGCGCCGCGGGCGGGAGGAGCCGCTCCGGGGCGGGCGCTGGGGCCGAGTCCGGACCGCGCCCGGTGCGGGACCGGGGCCCCGCCGGGCTCGGTCCTGCTCCAGCCGCTCACCCGACACCTGCCGGGGGAGACTCGATGCTCTCCCTCCCGTTCCCTCTTCCTCTGTGGCTCGCACCCCCCAGTGGAAGAACACGGGGGTTTAAAAAGCCGGTGAGAGGTGTTTGTTCTTTATTTTCAGAGCACAGGAGGTTCCGAGTTGGAAAGGGCCACGAGGATCATCGAGTCAAATGTGGGGACTGAGTTCAGAATCTTCCGAGGATCATCGAGTCAAACGTGGGGACTGAGTTCAGAATCTTGGCCTTATCAGCACCCTGCTCCAGCCTGGTATTATTTAAGGTTGCATTTCTGGATTTGTTTCATTGGATTCTGGGAATTTTTTTTTTGGGGGGGGGATGAAGTATTTTTTCTTTAAAGCATGACTTGAAATAAAAAAAACCTTTTTCCCATTCTGACAAAAGTTATCTTTAAAAGTAGCTAAAAGGGTCTCAGTTCCGTAGAGGTTTACAACAGAACAGCAATTTTGAACGTTGCTAACAATAAACGTGTCTAGGTGGTCTAGCCACAATTGAATAAGAATTTATTTTGCTTGAACAAAGAAAAAATGTTTGCATTTCAGAACCTGTTTCAATGTTTTGAATAGAAAAGGAATGTAACTTTACTGAAAGCTTTTGATAATAAAGCTGTAAAAGAAAGCATGCAGTATCTAAGAGTATGCTAAAACTCTGGTAGCAAGGAGCAGCTGATACACAGAATCAATAAACAGGAAGCCAGCTCTTTCCACTTTATCCATGGCTTCACTGCTGGCAGAAGCCTTGAGCATATGGTAGAGTGTGGAGTGAAATTCAGACTCTTCTTCCAGCTCTTCTGAAAAAGCTTCACTGGTCTCAGTGAGCTTGAGGTTTTGTACCTTCTCACCGTCGAACATGAAAAGAGACCAGTCATTGTCTTTGGCAGAACCCGCTGTGAGATGTTCCCTTGCCTGTTGTAGGAAGAAATGCACGGTGAGGTGAAGCCTGTGCCGTGGTCAGAGTACAAATTCTTATTTTTGTGTGTCACATGCATTTAACCTGAGAGGGAGAAGGCCACTGCAGCCTTCAGCAGTGGGGTGTGTCACCTTTCTCCAGCCACACCTGGGAGTGTTTGTCTGGCTGGGAGAGGTTTTAACCATGTGTTTTAGCTCACAGGTGGAGACAAACCAGCACTGAGGTTGCTTATTCCCTCCTTTGCAGCAGGGAGCAAAAGAAACCCTGCAGGCAGGCAGGCAGTCCCAGCTGTTCTCCAGAAAGCTGGCAGAGCACAGTGCCGATTCTCAAGGGGCCTCTGAAGAGCATGAAGCTCTGTCACCCCAGCTCTGGCTAAAGCCTCCCTCGGTGCCTCACCAGCTCCATTCTCCTCAGCAAGCGTCTTTGTGGCTGTGACCTGTGTCCCCCGAGAGCTCCCGGGGCAGTCTGTGGCACTGAGCTGGGGCAGGGGCTGAAGCCAGCCGGGTGAGTGAATTGTTCCTGTCTACTGGGGAAGGGTCAGTGCTGCTCTGCTCTGGGCCTTTGGTGGGGCTGCACAAACCTTGAACACGACTCGCTCCGGCCCTGCTTCTCCATTCCACTTGCTGTGAGCAAAAGCAAAAGCAGCTGCAAGCAGAGCCATCTGTTCGTAGGCCTTCGCTTCTGCCAGGGCAGCCTGCAGTGCACGAGTACAAGTCAGACACACAGACCTGTGTCCCTGTGGCACAGCGGTGCCAGGGCCTGCCCTGCCCGGTCCTGGCTCAGCTGGCAGCACAGCAGCTCCCAGAGCAGGAAAGGGTGACCCGGGTGAAAAACAGGGAAAAACCACCAGGAAACCCTGGCACTCACCTTCCTGGGCACAGGGACGTACTTGGAAGAGTACCCTGCTGGGAAAATGTTCACTCCAGCTCTTTTCAAAGCTGCTCTGAGGGCAAAAGGACTCATCCATTTTCCTGCGATGTGGGAAAGCACCTCCTCCTCTTCCACCACTACTGAAGACAACATACACTGATCATCCTGTTGTACAAACCAGTGAAAGCAACTTACTGGTCATGGAAGCTCCTTTCTGGTTTAGGCTTCAGATATTGATATTTTTGCTATGCTGGGTATTCCCCGCATCATCTGCTGCTCTGGGCTGTGACCTTTCATTTACAGATCCTAAGAAAGCCAGCTTTGTTAGGAATCAGAAATGACACTGGTGCACTGATGTATGCACTAATGAAGAGATGGATAATCACAAGTAGCTTTGAACTTGGAGAAGACACAAGGAGCACTAGTAGTAGGCTGCTAGAAATCCCTGTATTTCTCTTGGTGGAGCTGGGAGGAGACAGGAACCCTTTTCAGCTCTAACAGGTGGAACAGGCTTGGATGCAGCAAGGCAAAACCAGCAGCAAAACTCTGACTGAAACTTTGCAGAGCAAATGCACAGGTGCTGTCTCATAGTAAATAACTGAAATTAAACAACCAGTGCAGTGCTTGGAAAGGAAGAGAGTTTCTAATTGCTCTTGTGGAAGCATCCCAAACTCTTAATCAGGGACACTGTAATAAAAATGGGTTTTTTTAACTGCAAATGTATGATTAAAATATTATTGACAGTACCTTAATTTGTATCTGAATGGTTGCAAAGACTGCAGTAACTGTGAAGAGTCCTTCATCCACACCAGCAGGGTGCAATTCCCAGGCCTGATAGGGCAGGTTCAGGTGAGCATCCTGGAGGAGGGCTACTGTATAAAAGGCACCCATGCTAAAGGTGATGCTCTTTTCTTCTGCTTCATAGGTTATGTTGCTGATGCCATCAGTTCTCCACTGCTGGCCTGCAAAAAGAGGATGGAAAGATGTACATGGAAGGCTTCTGCTAGTACTGCTGAGGTAAAACAAACCAAAGAAGTAGTAATGAACAGAAAATGCAAAATCCCCAAATCAGCTAACACTGACTTCCCCAAACTATTTCTGGATTCCAGCTTGGCCCTTATCTTTACAGCTGGATTGTAACAACAGTCCAACTTGGGTATAAATTCCACTATTTAAATTTAAAATAAATTTATGTCTTAAGTTCATACCTGCAGGATCCCATCGGGCTACCACGGGTGCTTGAAAATAAATCACATTATCAGGGAGCCTCAAGGTTATCTGTACTGCTTCCTGTGTGCCATCTTCAGCTTCTCCTGGGGAATACGGATACACCTCCAATCCAGCATCCAGCAGCTTTGGCAAGAGGAAAGGACAGGTAAGGGGTACATCAGAAAGTGCAGGCTTTTTTTTTGAGTTCACCTAACCACTGCAAAGCTTTTTTAACGCCCCATTTTAAGTGGTTTGCTAATGTTGCACATTTCCAAGTACAGCTCTGAAGGCAGTAGAGGAGTGGCTACCATGAGGCCTTGGAGCCCTTCCTGTGCTGCTGAAGGCACCCTCAGGGCAGGGCCAAGGGTGGCACAGCCATTTCTGACAGAGGCACAGGCAGGTGTGATTCCACTCTGTCCCCACCATGGCAGGGGAAGGAGAGGCTGGGAATGAACAGCCTGGGCCTCTCCCCCTGCCCACAGTCCTGCCCCCGGAGTCTGGCTTTTTGTGAACTTTGCTTATTGATGGTTTCCAGCTTCAGAGTGCATCTGTGGGGTAGGTCAGTGCTAGGGGAAACCAGAACCCAGTGCCCAGAGTCCTCAACCAGCCTGCAGAGCCTGGAGTGAACTAGCAGGGATTTTTGGCACCACTGTGCTTTTACCCTTCACAAATGAAAACTGTTGATTTGCAAACCTCGGGAGCAGCTCCTCAGGGGCACCGGGGCTGATCCCTGTCCTCCCTTACCTCCACCATGCTCCAGTCCCCGACGTCCTGGGCCTGGGGCGGCAGCTGCAGGGCAGAGATGTGGAATACACCCCCCACGGGCACCAGCTGCTGCAAATCCACAGCTTTTGGTGCCTCTTCTCTGCCTCCTGCCTCCTCCTGCAGCAGGGCATCCTCCTCTGAAAAGTTCACCAGACAGCAGCAGTGACCAGGGGCTCAAACTCCCCGACATTCCCACTCCCGAGTCTGGCTGTGTGCTGGGAGCGCTTCGCTCGCAGCGTTCCGGCCCCATCTGCTGGTGCTCCTCAGCAGCACCCAAAGGTGCGGCAGCAGGAGCTGGGCCTTGGGAAGCGCCTCTGCCTTTGGGGCTGAGCTTCTGCCTTTGTAATGCTTCCTATGGGAACAAGGCTTCACTGACAAAATGAGTCCATTATTACCCACAGAAGAATTTCACAAGCACAGTAATACGGTAGGTTCTGGACAGGTTTAGTAAGATTGTATTGATATGAAAAGAAATGAGGCAAATAAAGAGATATATAAAAATAAGGCACTAAGAAGTCATGTGCTGACGGTGAAAGACATGGTAGTTAGGAAAAGCAAGAGGATTTAACATGAAACACAATTTTCAGATAACAAAAATAATTCCTTTTTTTCCTATACATAATTATGTATATATCACAAATGTATGAACTTAAGGTTTAGTTAGCTGGAAAATGTTAGTAAAAGGCAGAAACACTGTGGAAAACAAGGCCATAAATATTTTCTTTAAAAAAGCCAAACCAGCCCACATAAAACATCAGAAGGGATGGTACAGGAGGAAAGGAGTTATTGTTGACAGGAATCAAGGCAAAAGTGTTCAATACTGTAAAAACAGCTACTGTAATTGTTATGAAATTTGCTCTGAGAGAATAACACCATATAAAAAAAATGAGAATGCTCTCTATAAATTGTCTTTAAGCTTAAAAAAAAAAATTGGAAATGGTGTTTATTTTATGTCAGATTTAGTTACATTCTTCAGAGGCTTTACTCTACTGTATCACACACCACCAGAATGTCCTTTTATAGTTATTCTGAACAAACTTACCGGAAGTAAAAAACATTTTCCTGCATTTTACAGTGGTAGCTTATACTTTAATGTGTTTTTTTAAATAATAATACAAAAATATATAAGTATCTTCTAAGGAAACTATTTATTGTCCCAAGGTAATCTATCTCCTTAACAGTGGCATAATAAGGGTAAATCCAGAGAAACTGTCACTCCTCTCTGTTGTTGCATTTCTGGCTTTTAACCCTCATTTACTTGGCTCCATGTTTTAACTTAAAGTAACTGAGCATCCTTTCACTGCTGTTTTCAAAAGTGGTTGAAAGAGTTTGCAAATCATAAGCATGACAGAAAAAGCAGTTTTTCCTTCTTTCCTTATTAAAACAGATGAACAAGCTGGAAAACACTAAGGTATAATTGGTATCTGTGCACATCCACTCACCTAATACTGTGGTATGGTTTTTCAAAGCCTGACAGAAATAAAATACAAATTCTTCCACATGAGGCCCAAGTCCTTTATATTCTCTTGAAAACCCTTCTTTTCAGGTCTAGTCTGACAACTGATTCTCTGGACTGTGCTCAGTCCAAAGTGTTGTGGGGTGGGGTTTGGTTTTTTACCAGAAGAAAAGGGATGTAAAGTGGAGCTAAATTATGCTAATAGTTCTTTGCAGTTGTTTTATTTAAGTCAGTAGCACAAGAAAACTCACTCTTTTTAAACCAAAGGACAACACCAGAACACTGGAGACATTTGTAACTTATGTGGGACAGACAAACAGTTTTATTTCCTAGAATAAGGCCCTCTCACTTAAAGCACCCATTTAGGTAATACTCAGTAACACCCCACACTACACCAATGCCTACCATGATATGCATTGGAATCACCATTTTCTGAGGAATTAAATCTCCCCAGAGCCTGGCAGATTCAAAAAGATTGTGTGTCTCACCCATAAACATATGTAAAATAATACACATATCTATATAAACATGATAAACATGTACATAAGCATAAATAATAAATAAATAAAAATAATTGTGGGGACAAACTCCATTTTCCTATCTGTCCTGTTATCTCCCCACACGATTTAACCATCATTAATAGATATGTCAACAAAACTCAAGTGTTACGAAAACATCCCTATATTTATAAACTTTGCTCCATTCTCATGGAGATATTGCAGTGTTTCCATGGATCATGGAATGGCCTGGGTTGGAAGGGACTTTAAAGTCCAGTTCCAGCCCCATGGACACCTTCCACTATCCCAAGTTGCTCAGAGTCTCATCCAGCCTGGCCTTGGACACTGCCAGGGATGAGCAGCCACAGCTTCTCTGGGCAACTTGTGCCTCCCTACACTCAGAGGGAACAATTTTTAACACATGAAATACTTAGCCTAAGTACTTTTGTAGTGCTGCACGTAAAAAATAACCAAATACCTTGTGATGGCACATCCAAAATGTCTGAATTCTTCTCAGTTTCCTCCTTTGTCTCTTTTATATCAGCTGTGTTATTGCTGTTTTCTTTCAGTGAGGCAGCACTCTCCTAGACAAAAAGCAAGAGACGTTTTTCCATTAGTCAGAGACAAACACAATGAAGAAGAAGGTATCACCTCCTTCAAGGAGGCCCATGGAGAAGGAATACAGAAACATTTGTACCCATCTTGCTACAGGGTCAAGGTTTTAAGAGCAATCATTTGTACCTAGTGATCAAAAACACTTTGATTAAGGGTACTCTCTAATTTGGAACTGGATTTATAGAGACAAAGTAATTACTTCATTTCCACAACAAATTCCATCTTGAGTTCGCTGAGTACCAAACAAGCACCCAATACTTTTCCAGCAGAGTGTGCACTCAAGTTTTGGTTTTGCTGATTTTACAACCAGCAGAGTGGCGCAAAGTAAAATGCAAGTTGAGGCTGAATCCAAACCAAACACTGAAACTGTGCCCGAACCCCACCTGCAGCTTTGGCCTGTGCTTGGCCCATGATATTTATTCCTTTTCACACCGTATTTCAGTGTATTTACACACAGGAATGTGGTGGAGCTCAAGGCACAGCCAGAACAGGAGGATGCTGAGGAACATTCCCCTGGATTTCCAGACAAATACCCAACCCAGACAGGGATTCAAGCATGCCACAGCAGACTCCTCTGGAGGCACAGCCCTTCTGTGCCCTGGCTGTACCTGCCAGCATGTGGAAGAACACACATCTTCTCAAACAGGACAGGAGGTGAGGGGACAGAAGCTGAGAGGAGTGGAGCCTTCAGAAGGAAGAGGAAAATTCAGAGAATGGATTGAGAGAAAGAGCTTCAAGACCTGGGAAATAAAGAGAGGGAATAAAATGCAGCAGCTTAAAGAAAGTCTGAGAAATCTAAGTGAAAAGTACCAAAAGATAAGATTTGTCATACAAAAAAAGGAAAAAAGGAACCAAGAGAAGCAGGATTTCAAGCACTGATTCATTACAAAGGTAGTGGGGACTGCAAAGGAGAAAAGCCATGATCATGAACAGAAGTTCAATCCCTGTTTGATCCCTGTATGGATCTCAGAATTTATTCACTTAAGTGCTGGACTCAAGGATCCCTGTGGGTCCCTTTCCACTCAAAATATCCCGTGGAATTGCTCCAAACATAGTAGGAAGGTCTCAAACTTGATGTCAATTATTTCTGCATAAATTTTACATAGAGAAACACAGGGCATTTATTTGAAAGTCACAGGTGACACACAGAGTGAAAATCCCAAATGCAGTATGTACAACACAAAACCAAGCAACCTCCATCACACCTAAAACCAGCATACTCCATGGAAGAGAGCTGAAGAAGAGGACAGGCACCCAGAAGCTTATTTGAAAAAGCTCTAACAGCAAAGGGTCAAGCACACAGACATGGAACAGACAGCACCTGCTGAACTCTCAATCTTACTCTGTATGCTGCAAATTTTCCTAAAATTGGATTCCTGCAGGGGTTTTGTGGGGCTGTTAGTTTTGCAGAAGCAGAATCCATTCCTCTGTACTTATGCCAGAGATTTATAGAAATACATTGCATGGCACTTCATGCTTGATCCTTCTCTTAAACCACCAACCAAATGCCAACTGCACACCCTGTCCGAAATTCCCTTTCTACTTTCCATCTTTGCATTCCCTTGAGAAGACTATTGCACTGTTGACACAAGCTGCCTTTTCCTATGAAACACCTAAGGATTTGACTGTCCTGCACGGGACACTGTGACTGACCCTCAAGTTTACAAGAGCAAAGCAGAGTATCCTTTGAGGAGGTTTTTACCCACCTTTCTCCCGTTAGAACCCATTTCTTCTGCAGCAGGCGTGCTGGGTTCTTCCCTGCCTTCCTCCTCCTCTTCTCCTGGTCCTTGCCCAGTGTCCTCTGGATGCTCAGCTAACTCCAGGCTGTATGAGGCCTCCTGCCTTGGCAGCCCTTGGCACTGCACCCACCGGGGAGACACGTGGTCGTAGCGGGTGTGCAGCACGCGAACGGCCACGCTGCTCAGAGCCAGGGCCTTGGGCAGCTCGAAGCCGTGCCCTGCCTCCTGGAACACGTGGCTCTTGAACCTGGCAAGGGCAGTGACAACAGCAACAGGCCTGCTGAGACTGCCAGCACTTCATTGGTGCTTCCTCACAAATGGTACAATCTCTTGGGGAATTTTTTCGCACTGTCTGAGAAATGTTGTGGGGTATCACAGTGCTTGTGCTGGCAGCTGTCTGTAAGACCCTCCAGCAAAGCCACAACTGAATCAAGGGGATCAGACCTTTCAAAAATAAGTCTTGACAGGATGACGAGGCAGGATCAGATGGCAACTCTTCTAGAAACTACATTCCTGGTAAAACTGACTAATTTATTGGGAAAATTCCTGCACAGCTGTCTGTGTCACATCACTCTCGGTACCTTTCAAAATAATTCACACAATACTTATTTTTGGATAAGATAAGCTGGTCACAAGTTCTAAAAAATTTCCAGTAAAGCAACATTTAGCTATTAATTGTTGGTTGAATTATTTAAGTGCATCTCTCTGCTGGCCAAAAGATTTTAACACTTACCCCATGTGGGCTCTTCCTGCAGGTCAGTCTGACATTGCTCAGCATCCACCCTTCTACTTATCTTAACTCACAGCAACAGGTCCTTAGTCAAGCTAAAGTCCTTTTAATAACTTATTCCTTACGTTTATGAGTGGGATTAGGAAGTCTGCTGAAAAATCTTATTTTGAAAATGTACCATTTAAATGGTAATCCAATAAAAACACAACACTTAGATTCAGAAATGATAGTGCATCCCAGGCTCTAAAATATTTTCTCTAACTGAGCACAAAGCAACATTCACTGCTTTACAAGCAACTGGAAGAACTTAGAAAATATTAAATGCACCAGCAAGAAACACTGCTTCCAGAGGAATTTCAATTCTCTGCATAAGCTTTACTGTTTTTCTTCTAAATTTGTTCTGGCAGTGAACGGGTTCTGCTGCTGCATTTTAATAAAGAAATTTATATATGTCTAAATCATTCCTTAGCAACAGCCAGCAGTGAGAGTCTGCAGAGTGGATGCTATTCAACAAAAAATTACGAGAGATTGGTTCTGGTGTTTACTCAACAAGGTCAGGCCTCATTTCAATTTCAGCATGCTGTACCTTGCTTTCTTCTTCAGATTGACCCAAATACAGAAAGTAATGTTTTCATCCTTTAGGACTGTGTGCATATTCCCAGTTTCAGAATCTTCATACATACTAGCTATCTACAAAGAAAAAAGCCAATTAAAGAATTTGTTATATATTTTACTTTGATTTACCTACATTTACTTGAATAAATAAATAAAATAATACATTTAAGAATGCAAATATAGCAGACTAAGCCCAGCTGTGTTGTATTTACATATTAAAGCACAACAGTTATAAACTCAAATCCATTGCTTAAAATTTGAGCTACATTGATTTTTTTCTCTGACTTCATCAATTCTGTGAGTCAAGTACTGCCAAATAAGGGTTCTTCCATTATTTCCCTAATTCTCAGGATAAATTATCAAAAACAAACAAAAAAAGGACTTACTGAGCAATAGTGGACTCCTACCCCAGACTCACTGCACAGATTATTTTATCATTTAGGTAACATCAAATTTGTGAAATAATAATTTTATTAGGAGCTTTAATCCTAAATTCAATAAACAAGAACTTAGCATTTCTTATTTTGTAGAGGGTTTTGACTATGCACATACAACTGGTTCACTATTTCACTAATATTCCTTTGCTAAACATGCTTTATATATATGATTAATGTTTTTGAAATAGCAAGGTCACTGCCTAAATATGAAGCTCAAAAAACTGACTCTCCAGCATGATTTCATTTTCTTATTTGAGTGTTCTTCACCTTTCCCAAGATCTTAGTTTCAAAAATATTTTAATTACATGAACTTGTATTAAAAAAATGTGTACAAGGCAACCTTATGAGTTGTTTTTCACATCTACATTTTTTTGGTACAATGAACAAATTTCATTGTACCAAAATTGTTTTGGTATGTTTTGGTATGAATTTACCAAAATTCATTGTTTTCATCATCCCCAAATCTCACAAAATTTCGCGGTAGTTTGTTCTTGTCTGACTTAATTATGAGATTTTCCACTGTAAAGTTCAGATTTTCATGAGTTTTGAACAATTACAAAGTCTGGTGACTGCTATAAACATGATTTGGAAACTCACAGACTCATCTCTGTGACAGTTTAGGACCAAACTGTCCAAACTGTTTAGAGCCAACCATCATTAAAGGACACTGGGAGTTAACTTATGTGCACATATCACAGCTTTAAAGCACCAGATCTCACTCACTTTGAGCAGGTTCTGTGTGGCATCATTGTACTTCTGATGAAGCAGATCCTGCAATTGCAGAATAACTTCCTGGTACTGGTCTCGTTGTTTGTCTGTGATCTCTTCTGGGGATGCCTCCAACAGAAGAAACTCCAACTTCTCAATCAACTAGAAGACATTTACATGGGAAAAGTATCTGTTTTGACACCATCCTTAACATATTGTGTGTTCCATCATAAAAAATGAGGCAAACCTACTTCCTTTGCACCTAAACAGATTTTGGTCACAAAAATAATTTTCTTAATAGACAGATAAGAAATCTAACTCAGAATCAAACCCACACAATGAAACCTGTATTACCCATGCAACTTCCCCCCCCCAGTTTACAGAAGACCCCATTTAACTTTCTGAAAAACACCATAAAGTCAGCATAAATGAAAATTAAATCCTAAATTTACAGAGCAGGCACAGATTGCTTAAAATTGCTTCACAAGCTATCAGTGGCTGGTGACTTCTGTTGGTAGAAATACATTCTGGGAACTTTTGCCCTTACATGACACTTTACTGGCTCAAGTGTTAGAAAATGAGGCTGTTGTCCACCAAAGCATTTATATCTGACATGAGCTTGTATGCTCATGTTTGGTTTAAAGTGGAAGGGAATATGTGTGTTGGAATGATAGACCTCAGTGTAGAAACACAGCACACAAATCCCTTAAATGCATATTGGAAGTCAATACACATCTTCTTCAGGGTTAACAACAAATCTGTAACTAAAGAAAAATAGAAAAATTGAAGAAAAACTTCTAGGTGTTGAAGGTCTTTCAGTCACTTGGCCATGAAAAAAGGGAAAACAGAGTTAGAGGGGGCTGTTAAGGAAATGTTAAGCTTAAACTGAAATACAGCATTTTAACACTGACATTTAGCACCACTTCCTCCTTCTCCATCACAAGCTGAATGTCCTCATCTTGGTCATCACGCCACAAGCTCATGAAAGTGTTGATTTCCTGAGGTACAGTGGGGTCAGGAGTCCCATCACAGCTGAGGTAGTGCTCCCACTGCAGAAGAGTTCAGAGAAAAGTGCATACAGGTGTGCTGCACACTGCTATTACAACAGGGGAGTGCTGAGTGCACTTGGAAACTCCTGCATAGAAGACTGATCAATTTTCAGCAGTAAGACATCTGATTTCTTTTTTTTTTATATCTTTGCACTTAAAAGAGAGCTTCACTTTTATCATCACATTCTTAGAAGTAACAGCACTTTTTTCAAGAAATAGGACAGATTTCATGGTAAGTTGGAAATGCATGTCTTCATCTGAACTGAAATTATTCAGAAATAGATGTGGAAACTAAGTATTTGGTATTATGTATTTATTTTATCCTAAATAATCTTAACAACAGACTAAAAGGAACTCTAGTATTTCCCACAATCTACCAGTGTTTTATCAGACCTATTTTAAAATCAATAGCTCTAGTTTGTCAAAAACATCCACAAACAACAGCTGGCAACGATCACAAGCTGTAACAGGGAAATGCCAATTGCATTCAGAGAAAAATGGTTACAGTGAGAGTGGCAAAACTGTCAAAGATGCTGTAGTACCTCCAACTTTTAAATATTTCAAAAATCAACTGAGCATCTTGATTTAACTTCAGACTTTGCCCTGCTTGGTGCAGGAGTTTGAGCTGCAGGAATTTCAGAAGTCTTCTCTGAGATGGGTTATCCTATGATTGTGAAGTTGTTCTGCAGGGACTTTAACAAGATTAAGCAATACACAAGACAAAATCCTTGTGTCCACAAGCTTGTAGGATTAAAGCTTTGATTCCTTACCTGACCAAATGTCATTATCAGACTGTTAGTGAGTAATGTGTCTGTAAGATTCTCAAGAGTGGAATCTACTGTATTTCCACACCACTTCAAATGGAACTTGACAGGTACATAATGCCACTGGGTGATGATTCAACCACCATGGATGTCACCCTAAACTGCAGACATCAACTTTTAGCTGCATTTTCAGACTTTTCCAGCCCTGACCTGGGTTTGTGCCACATCCTTCAAGAATCTGGCAAACTTCTCTCTCTCTGAATGATGACCTGTGATATCAACGAGCCACTGAAACAAATGTTCTACAGAATTTCTTTTTAAGCCCTGGCAGAACTTTTTTTGTGAAATGGTTAAAAGCAGAATGAATTAAAGAAATAAAAGAGGAAGAACAGGTACCAGAACATCTGAAACTACAATTCCTTGTGACTGCTGGGGTAAGGTGTGGGGCATTAATACTTTGATCACCAAACAGGCTCCTCCTTGCCCACATTTCTTTTCTGTGTGCTCCAAAGTAAAGAAGATTGAGTGAGCATGGCATGTCAGTGCTTTGAGATGGAATTTGAAATGCTGTCATAGCACACACATACATTCAAGCCCTGGAAGCTCCTGAAGTCTCTTCCTTGCCAAACCTCTGGGCAGATTTTGGCAAGAAAGCTTACCTTAGCTTGTTCTCTGTAATTAATTTTCCACTGCTGTGCAGAAAGAAACTTCTGTTCCAGTGAATTAAGTTCTGCTAGTTCAGACTCTCTCTCTCCTTGATACTGTTAAAAAAATACATATATCAAACAAAGCAGTTAAATATTTGGCTTATTTCTTACAATTATTTTACATACAAGAAGCAAATTGGGGATATTTGAATGAGTTATTATTTAAACAAATCCAAACACTGAAAACTTGCTTTTTAAATGAAACATCCAATTGAGAAGGCTGCAGTAGTTCACAATATTATTGTCATCACAGTAGTTGCTGAGCCATATGATAAACATAATGTGACATATGACTACAACCTCTCACTTCAACAGTTTCCCTGTCAGCCTCCTGGAGCCAGCTCTAATGGCAGCTGCTAGAAAATGTAAGCCTAATTTGGAAAAAAACATGCAAGATTGTTTTATTTTTTCCCTTTTAGTTTCTATTATTTTAAGGTCATCTTCTCCCTAAGAGGAAAAAATATTCTGTGAAGTACAAGAGGAGTAGACAAGAGTGACTCTTTCAAAAAAATTTAGTTTATTGTAAATCTCTTTTTTTTTCTTTTTAAACACAAAAATAGTTATCTATCATCAGTTTTTGTTCTGAAAAACAAATTTATTTTTCTGACTGTTCAGAAAAATAAATATACATAATCTAATACACACACATATATTTACAAATACAAATCACTGTATCTGCCTGAACAGGGAACCAGTTAAGGAATTTGTACCAAATCAATTGAAAGCACAGTGGAAATGGGAAAAAAAAAAAAAAAAGGCATTTAACCAAACTTAAGAAACACATATGACAAAAGGTAATGTATTTAAATTTATCAAAACTGGAAAATTTCTTCAATACTGTTCCCAACATTAACGACAGAAGTTAATTCCTACAAATTACTGGTATTTTACAAGCCTTGTCTCAAGTTTAGAAGTAGGATTAGAATTTTTCATTGAGTAAAAGACTAACCTTTGCTTCAAGCTTTTCCAAGTGCTCTTGATACAATCTCTCCCTTTCAAGTCTTTCTGCTTCTTCTTGTTGAGCTCTTAATAGGGCTTCAGCTGAGGATTGGGAAAGAGATCAAGGGCATAACTATGACTTCCTAAACAAAATCTAAGAAATCATTTCGTTACCAGCTGTAATGATAAAACCACTATAAAATGAGCAAAATAAATGTTTATCTTTCACTGCACAGAAATCTCCCATATGAAGATTGATCCAAATTAATTTGAATACTACTAAAACTGTCTATTAACACTGTCTCTGGCACTGCCCCATCAGCCTGTGAGGATAAAAGTGGAAACAAGGACCAGCAAGTGCAGCAGCAGAAGTGCTCTCTCCATATACAGCTTCAATGGATACAGGTTCTCAACCCAAAGTTTTGAGTGAAACTCAGTGCTTTAATCCCAAATTCTCCTCTTCTTTCCTACAACCACTGGTTTCCTACAATTTCAATTTTACGCTGTTTGTTCATTGAAATCCACTTCAGGATCTGCTACTCCACATCACTGGCTTCTCTTTGCTGTCATAGGGACTAGAAAATTAGACAGAATGTGAAAACTAAAACTGATTCAACCTCTAAGCCTTCAGCCTAAGATGGCACAGCCTGTGCCTCAACCCAGATGTTCCCAAACAGTGACCTCCAATTAAATCATGTCAAGCGTGTGCTGCACTGAGGCAGGAGCAGCAGCAGCTCCCAGATCTGCCTGTGCCCACCTGAGCTTCTAGTCCCACCACAGCAGCTTACCAGTGATTAGCAGTCACTTACTGGCAGTCACAGCAGGCCCAAGCCCCTGCCAGGATGGATTAATGGCAAGTTCATTCTTCCCAACTTCCCAGTTGCAGTAGGAGTAACTACAGCAGAGAGTACTGCTCTGACAGGGAGGTGAGATGCAGCATCAAGGAACAGGGAGTTTAGCCCACACCAGGAAAGAGGGAAGAACCATTTCCATTTGTGAAACACAGACAGCAATTCACATCGAGTTCAGGAAGTTACCTTCTGCCCTTTTATTTAAAATGAACCATTTGTCCACCACACTCCCTCTAAATGAAGAGCACAGTACCTTTCAGCCTCTTTTCCTTTTCTTTCTTCGATTCCTTTTTGCCATCAGATTTCACGTTTGCAATAAGGGAGAGGAAAGCAAATGTCAGTATTATTTTAATACAGTTTGGCATTCCATCACTGTAACTCTGCCCTTCCAATGTGATCCCTCAATTAAAATTTTAGACTCCCTAGACAGTCAAGGAAGGCCTCAGAATAGTAATGCACATTCTGGACTCATTTTCTTTCTTTTTTTTTAATGATAAGGTCTTAAAATTAATGTATTTTTTCTATGCTACACATTCCTAAACACAGCCACAACATGAGAGTATTGAAATCTTTTGGTTTAATGTAGAAATTGAATAATAGGCAGATATGCTAAGAAAGTAGATGCTACAACTTCAAACATTGTAGGAAATACTGGAAAATGTATTTTGAGACAAGCCTGGCATTTGGAAGTATCTAATTCACAAGACAAAATAGAAAAGAGTTCTCTTTTCTGTTATAAAATCTCACTCCAGACAGTTCACTGTTCACCTCCACCATAATCCTAGAGTAACCGTATTTTAAATCTGAGGTTCTCAGAATTTAAGTGACCATTGATCCTTCTTCACACACACTTATTTCACACTTTGATTTAGACTATCACACATTCAGATACAAATAACTACTTGTTCATTTCACACTACTTTGCATGGCAATAAATATATTGGCATAAATATATATATCTAAATGCAACTTTGAGTACAGAGGTTGCCATGAAGCTGGGACACATACAGTAGTGATAATTAAGTGTCACCAGAGTCTGAGTGCATCTTATGGCATTTGGTATGAAAGCATTCAGTTGTTGCAAAATTATCCCAAAACAGAATCAGTAAAACTAACACTTCTACCCATTAGGATTTCAGGGAAGAATTTGTTCTTTTCACTCTGATAAATAAATAAATAAACTGAAAATGGAAAACCTGCTTGTTTCAATTACTTGCAATCATGTTTTAGTAAATTTCTTTTCACATTCCTATGACTTAACAGAGCACTGAGAAGAGTGAGATGCACAGCTGGGGAGAGGTAGATAAATTCATTATCATTTAATTAAGAATAACCCACAGGATAAATTTATGCAATTCAGTTTCCCATGGACTTCTGCCTGTTGTCCGTTTTCCCCTTTCCCCCCCCCCCCCCCCCCTTATTCTGTGTATACCCTATGGCTCAAATAACAGAATCCCAGAAACATTCAGGTTGGAAATGACCTCCAAGATCATCAAGTCCAAGCTGTGCCCGATCCCCACCTTGTCACCCAGCCCAGAGCACTGAGTGCCACATCCAGACCTTCCTTGGACATCTCCAGGGATGGGGACTCCAAACTTCCTTGGGCACCCCCTTCCTTGACAAACCTTTTGTGATGAAATTCCTGCTGATGTCCAACCTGACCCTTCCCGGCACAGATTGAGGCCATTCCTCTTGTCCTGTCCCCGTTCCCTGGGAGCAGAGCCTGACTTCCCCTGGCTGTCTCTGCTGTCAGGGAGTTGTGGAGACCCAGAAGGTCCCTCCTGAGCCTCCTTTTGTCCAGGCTGAGCCCCCCCCAGCTGTTCCCGGTGCTCCAGCCCCTTGCCCAGCTCCGTTCCCTCCTCTGACACACTCCAGCCCCTCAATGTCCATCTTGCAGTGCCAGGCCCAGAACCGGACACAGGACTCGAAGAGTGGCCCCAGCAGTGCCCAGCACAGGGGACAGTCACTGTCCTGGTCCTGCTGGCACCCCATGGCTGGGACAGAGCCAGCACACCGCCTCTCTCCATGGGCACCCGTTGCCAAGCCAAACAAGCAGTGGCTGCACTGGCCATGCTCCCTCCAGCAGCGCTGCAGGAACATTTGGCTTCCCTGCTAGAGGCACAAAAGCTCAGTATCCTGGAGACACCTCTTCCTCCTTCAGATTCATTAACCCTGGCCAGCTGCCTCAGCAAAAAACCAAAAAACCAGATAAAAAAATAAACACAGCAGTGAACTACAGCGTGTTTTTGCCTACCTTTTTTTTTGGACCCTAAAAGATCAGAAGGGGAAAAAAAAGGAAAAGGGAACATGAGATAACAACGTATCAACTAGTAAGGAAAAATTAGAAAAATACTACAATTATGTTAAAATTAGATGTGATCATCTATTGAAAAACCATAATGACAAAAATTCCAAGATAGCAGAAAATTAGCCACTAACACATGACTCTTGGAACGAAGTTTTTTTACCACGGAGCCATTCTGGCAGCAAAGTGTGAGCCACCTCCCGGCTGGTCCCACACGGAACCACAGCGGCAAACCACGGCACAAGGACTTACACCGGGGCCCACACCAACGATAAAATAAATAACGCGTCCTTCGGGTGCTTTTTTCACCCTCAGAGCCTTTTCCCACCCCCTGCGACTTCGGTCGCTAACACGGAACACCCCACTTTACTCCAGCACTTCATCCTTCCCCATTCCCCTGTTCATCACCACCCGTACCCCAGGTCCCTTCCCCGCCCCACCATGTCCCGCCGCGGTGCCCGTGTCCCTCAGGACGCTGTGGCGGAGCCCGTTGTCCCTCAGGACGCCGATGCCCGGGTCCCTCAGGATGCGATGCCGTGTCCCTCGGGACGCCGGTGCCTTTGTCCCTCAGGACGCGATCCCGCCGCGGGTGGCGGTGCCCATGTCCCTCAGGATGCGATCCCGTGTCCCTCAGGACGCAATCCCGCGTCCCTCACGACGCCACCCCGGTTCCCTCAGCGGCCGCGGCCCCGCCCGCAGCCGGCGCGGCGCAGGCGCAGCTCGGGCCGGGCGCTGCCGTAAAGCGGCGCGGCGGCGGTCCCGGGAGCGGCGGTGAGATCCCGGCCCGGCCCGGTCCTGCCGGGACCCGGGCGTGGCTCCGGGGGGAGCGGGGCTGCGGGCAGAGCCAGGGGAAGGCGGCGGCCCCGGGAGGCGCCGCGGCGGGAGCTGGATGCATTCCAGTCGCTTGTGATTTGGTTTTGGCTGCCCCGACCCCGGCAGTGCCCGAGGCCAGGCTGGACGGGCTCTGAGCAAGCGGGGATAGTGGGAGGTGTCCCTGCCCGCGGCCGGGGGTGGGACCAGATGATCTTTAAGATCATTTCCAACACTGTTCCGTGATTTTGTGTTTACAGAAATAAAAATCAGCTACTTGTCACTTACCCTTACGTTTTCCCGGTGCACACTGGACTCAATTTGTGATGCACTTAAAAGAGACCTTAAAAAAGCAAAATTTATGAATGTGACAGTTGCAGAAATATAAATGTATAGGTATAAAATGGATATATCTATATATACACTATAGGCATACGTAATACATAAATATATATGGAGATAAAAATAAACACATCAAAAATTTTATAAACACGGCTATATGAATATATAAAATACATAGATGTGTATTCTATTTAGATCTCTTTACAACTCTATATGTGTGTATATATGTGTATATATATATAGATAGATATATATATATAGAGATAGATAGATAGATAGATATAGATATAGATAGATAGATAGATAGATAGATAGATAGATAGATAGATAGATAGATAGAGCTTTTTAGCAGACCATAGAAGCAGCCAGGCCAGCAGGTGCACAATTGTAAGGGTGTGAGAAAGCAGCCAATGAACAGCACAGTGTCTCCCAGTTGTTCAAAGTTATTAGAAAGTTCCTTGTTTTCTGTTTGAGGGGGGACGGGAGAAGACAATGAGAAGCTAAATAGAATGAAAAATAGGAAAGAAAAAAAAAAAAGAAGAGACAGAGTAGAACCAGAATCTCAGCAAATGGGGCTTGGTAGGGTACAGAAGTTTTAGGAAGGCTGAGGCTGTTTACTGACACCCAGAGAAGGCTAATTTCTAATTGATCATTCTTCAGGTAACAAAACCCAAACAAACCAAACAGATCACACAAGGACAGAGTTCACTGAAATGTGAGAATGGCCAATTCTTTAAGAGGTGAAGTGATAAAACTGTACAAAAATGTAAGTGTCTTAAATACCACCAACACTTTCCTTAACCAGAAAATGAACCCCCCTTTGACTGTGCACTCAGTTAATTAAAAACACATTATTATTCTTTTTTTCTCCAAGCTGCTGTACCTTGGAAGGGAGTATCCCAAAGGAGCAGACTACTTCAGAAGACGTTTGAAAGCAGCTTTTCTGAAAAACAAAGATGAGACAGACCCTGAAAAAATTAAGCAGCTGATTGCCCGGGGAGAGTTTGTTATAAAGGAGCTGGAGGCTTTGTACTTCCTGAGGAAATACCGAGCCATGAAGAAGCGCTACTATAGCGACGACAAGCCCTGACTGTGCCGCCTGTAACCACACACACCCAGTAAAGGTAACAATAAAAGCTCTAACTGCAAAGAAGTGACATGTAAATCCTTCCAAACCCTCTACAGCACAAAATGAGGGAGCTGCTTCCCCGCCAGAGATCACTTGAAGGGTTTGCGGTGTGCAGGTTATGGATAATAAGTTTTCCTGTGCTGCTTTTGACCTCCTCAAACTAAAACTTCAGGTATGAAAGGATTTTGCAGGAAGGAGTGGTTGCACAGCCCTGTTTTGTTTCACTTCAATGTATGTGTTGAACAGAAACTCTTCTTACCCCGTAGCTGTGTGTTTGGGTGTCAGTTCAAGGTGCAGTGCTTGTTACCTGAAAGATGAACCCGATTAAAAATCTTCCATGGTGAACGATCCATTTCTGCTGGAAATGAGCACCCTCTCAGAAGTGAGGTTCCCTCCCTGGAGAGGAAGTGCTGTGTTCAGTTCTGGTGTCCACAGTGCAGAAAAGATGAGCTACAGGAGAGGACCAAGCAGAGGCCATAAACATGAGGGGTCTGGAGCATCTCTTACAAGGAGGGACTGCAGGAGCTGGGCCTGTTTAGTCCGGACAAGACAGAGAGGGGAATCTCATCAATGCATATAAGTGTCTCAAGGGTGGATGTGAAGGGGATAATACCAGACTCTTTTCAGTGGTGCCCAGCAACAGGACAAGGAGCAATGGCCATAAATGTAATGCAAGAAGCTCCACCTCAGAATGAGGAAGAATTTCTGTACATTGAGGGTGGCAGAGCCCTGAACAGTTGCCCAGGGAGGGTGGGGAGTCTCCTCTGTGGACATCCCAAACTCACCTGGACTTGTTCCTGTGTCACCTGCTTCAGGTGACCCTGCCTGGGCAGGGGGTTGGATTAAATGGTCTCCAGAGGTCGCTTCCAACCCTGGCTGTTCTGTGAAAGCAAGTTCTTACAGCTTTTAACCTTATCTGCTCAGCTTACATAGGCACCACCTTCCTGTGTCTCCCTTACTCAGGGAGACAACTGGGGTCAGGAAAGGGTGAGTTTAACAACAGTGCTTTAAGCACTTGGGTCCTGAAGACAATTCCTGCTACTACTGATTTCTGCTGTTGTGTAACTGCTGCAGCAGGAATAGAAAACTTGATCTTTGCCCCTGGAAGAGAAGTTTGGCCATGGCTGTTTGCTCCAGGCTGTCTGTAGGCCTTGGCTCAACTCACACTTGTGTCAGAGCTGATACTCTGTTGGGTTGGTTGGGGTTTCCACCAACCAAGTGACACTGGAGGGAGAAACCATCTTTGAAATATTGGTAAGGAATCACTGCAGCAGAGCTGTTGGCAGTCCTCAGCAAGTCTTCACACTAGCACTAAGGAGTGTTGTAAGGTCACTCAAAGAATTGCCAGCAAAGGCATCAGCAAAACCAGGCTTAATGTAAAAGTGAAAGTGTAACAAAGTCCTTTCAACAAGGTTCACTGTTTACTATGGGGTTAAAGCACAGAGAAAAAACAAACTAAAATCTACAATCAATCAATAAAAAGCCAAAATCAACCAAAACTTATCTCTGAGGATGCTGGGGACACAAAAAAGGGTAAGGATGGAAAAAGGCAAGGATAAAATGCGTAAGGGAGATGCTCCCATTGAATCACAAAGTTCAGAGTGGACCCCCTTGTGAAACTGAGCCCCAGATCTGACCTGTGGTTTATGCCTTAAGGTTTAACAGCACTTAGTCCATAGTTTAATTTAAAATAATTTAACTAAAGATTCATACAGAAATTCCTATAAGCACAACAGCAACTCGCTCATAGGCCTGAGCTACTTGCAAATGTACAGTACTTAGTATCTCTGAGAGCACTATCCATGGTACATTTCCTACAGCATATCAACACCCATAGTCCTGAAGGAGTATGTACAAGGTATAAAATTCCCCTGGAATTCACTGAAGCACTTACCTTGGATACCTTTGTCATCTTGTCAGTAGCTGAAGGGTTGAGCCTCAAGGAAGGGGGGCATTGTTCCAGGTTCTGTTGTCACTGCTGGTCCTCCAAATACAGCAAACAGGAGTTCACTGGCGGCTCTGAGGGGCTGCACACACATGGAGACTTCTGGTCACTGCCCACTGCAGTCCAGGAGAGCTCCAAGGGCCTCACGCAGGCCCACTCTTTATAGGGTCACAAGAGAGGTGGGTTTAGTCACAGCAATCTTCCATCCTGACTACAGTCCAGGTTGGTAACTTCCTTTGACATTTCAAAAGAAAAAATGCTGTTCCACTGGGGGTGTTCTTCAGGCAGGCAAAATAAGTTTCCTGGGCTGTTGGTTACAAAGCAGGAGCTCTTCAGACAGCACCAATTCCTAGGAACTGTTCCTGAAGAGCTCCAGAGAAGCTCAGCCCAGGTGTTGAACGAGCATTTCTCAAGTTACAGCTGGCCTGAGGAGGAGGGGGTTTAATTCTAGGACAGAATTTAAAAAGTTACAGCAGGGTGCAGTACCTTGTAATGAAACACACGTGCTCCAGTTTCTGCCACCACACTGATGTGAAAAACTTCCACATCAACTGAGCTCTTCTGCACTTCCACCTGCTCTGAGCAGCCACCCCTCTCAGAGACAGGGACTCCAAGGGGGCAAGGATAGCAGCTCTGGGACAGGCAGCACCAGCACAAGTGCAAGAAAGAATGGAGAAAAGTGCCAAGCACAAGGAATTCGTGGGATGCTCTGTTACCTGAAATTCTTCTAGAGGAAAAGGAAACTGGGACAGACACTCACAATAACTATTTTTTATTACATTACAATAAATAGGAGCAGTACAGTTTGACAAAAAAATGACAAATTCCAGATCACCTCACAGCACATACTCCTAAAAACATTAAAAATTTTAAAACAAACAGTGGTCTTTTTTTTTTTCCTTTTTTTAACTTAATGTCTGGCATGACCAACATTCCTAGGTCACACAACCAAATTATGGAAAAACTGGATCACACTGCATATGTTCCACATCAAATAAAGCACAATGTACAAAATGTGCATGTTTCAGTTTACACTATACAAAAATAGTTAAAATACATTCCAGGTAAACATATTACATTAAGAAGTCATTCTAGTAAGAAGTTGGCACTCAAGAGGAAAAAGCAGAAGTATTTTCAACATGAAAACACAAGACAGTGGAATAAAGAAATGTTAGGAAAGATTTACCATCTATGTAGCTTTATGTAAACTTGAGACACAATGATTTGTTTTACAGTTTGATGGTCTTTGAAGGTAATAATTGTATTGCTTCATAGTCTAGACAAGAGCAGAAGATTGTGTGTGTCAGTATTTACCCATTATCCTGTTACTGCAACAAAGCCCACACAGCAAAAGAGAAGTAAAAAATTTCAGGGCACTAAAACTGGTCAGAATAATTCATTTTGGAGCAAACCAAGGATCCAGGTATTTAGCAGAGTTACATAAAGCTACTGTAAGAAGGTGTTATCCCTGACACAAGGCAGTTTGATGTGGTGACATGGGCAGTGACTCCCAGGCTTGCTCAGGAGCTGCTCTCAGGACACAGCACCCAGGGATGTTCTGTGGAAGCATCTCAAACAGGGCAGGGCAGGGCAGTGATGATGGAGGAACTTGTGCAAGCTGCAATCCAACGTGCTTCACCAAATCTCAACAAACAGGAAGACAAAACTGCACAACAGTGGCAAGGATGGAATTGGGTTGGATTTATTTTCAAGTAAATAAGGGCTAATCTAAATGGATTTTGTACTAATTTAATTAGACTGGCAGCTACAGCTCACTTTTGCTGAAAAACCCCAACATTGGTTCATATATAGCTTTATAGTAGAGCTATAGAAATCCACTTTGGATGAATAAGACATTTCAGCTACAAATGCTCCTAACAGCTTAAAGTTAAATTAACATCAGAATTTTAGACCAGCCCTAATTTGACATGCAGTGTGACTCAGTTACCAAAATTAAAATAACCTTAAGATTACTTCCCATTTGCTCAAGGCTTACAACCCACTTTTGCTACATTCTTCATCTATTATCAAGAGTGTATAAAATGTGCAAGTAACTGTCTCCAACACATTTTAACCTTGGAAGCTCTGAAATATTTTGTGACATTAAGAATTTGTTCTTACTCCTTATTGGTCCTTACAGTATAAAGTTCTCCTGTTACTGTTTTTCAGAATATTTCATAATTTAGATTTCACATTGAAGCTGAGAGGAAGGAGTGGAGGGGCCTGGATTTTGGTCAAGGGTGGGAGCAGGGGACACAGAAAGAGAAAGGTCTGATTTCTCCCAGACACAATGGAATTAAAGAATATGGAGCAATTCAGACACTCTGTGTTCCCTGCCAGCTTTGCAGGTCCTCACCTACAACAGTCACTCTGGGATTTTTTTGTAGAAGCAAAGTAATACTTTTCACAGAAAGGGTCCAAGTTACACGGTCCAATTTTTACATACATGTGTAAAATTTCCATGGAATACCTTAGGTTAGGGCAATTATGCTATTCCCTGTTCCAAAATTTCCAGTGTCCTGAACTCTCCTACCTCAGTGTCTTGTGTTTTATTTTTTGGGTACTCCAGAGTCACACTTCCCAGTGTCAGTCTGCAGCTGAGTTAGCTCCTGTGGAGAAGTGCACCTTCAGAGACCAAAGCTCTCCTGAAACAACTCCACATTTACAGGGAGACACCAGGAACTGGAAACACTGCAACTACTGGCTTGTACTTCAGTGGATAACAAGGCTACTGCAGTACCAAAAAGTGAAAGCTCCTGCAAAAATCCTGCATTAATTCATTAATTCCAATCAGAACAAAACAAACAAACAACAACAAAAAAAAGTGGGGGCAGAGAAGAACAAAAATCACAAGAGAACTTAATCACAGAGAAAGACAACATTAAACTCTTGGTGTAGCTTCATGACAGTCTAGACACTGGAATGCCACTCACCAACCATTTAATCAGTACTTCACAGACATCACACAAACAACACTGACTCTGGAAATCATATTCTACGCTGACAGATTGTGCAAATTCCACACCATTTCCACGGCACAGTGGATTTCCAAATTATTAGCATGAAGCAGCTAAATTCATCTCTTTCATTCACTCATCTGATGTTGCTAAAATTTAGAATTTCTCCCCTATTTTGCACAAAATGGGCATCTTTAGCGCCATTCTTGGGGGAATAAAAGAATGGTTTAACTCCACTATGTAATTGAGGACAGATTTTGATTTAATTCTTACAGTAAATTCTGGGTCCAAGTATGAATTAACCTAAGAATTTGAATCAAGTTCTCTGTTAAGGCATTCTAGTATTTCCTAGGGACACTCAGGGTGAAATCCTGACCATACTGAACAAAGCTACTCAAAGCTTTGACACAGGGGGATTTCACCTTGCTCTTCAGACACAAAAAGTCAGTGAAACTCTTCAAGCAATGCATTAACAATAGCAAATCAACCTAATTAGAACTTTTACTTTTTCCATTGCCAGGTGTGCATTGTTGTCTTTTTAGATTTTTTTCTTTTTTTTTTATTTTTTATAGAAAAAATAGAGTATTTAAGGAGTGACTGTGACAAATTGCAGTGAAATTTTTTGAAAGTTTTCTCTTTACATTCATTAAAGTTGATCTGAAATGCTACAAGACTAGATGCCTAGAAGCAAAATCTACAGGAAGACTATAAAGGCTTCTGGTCTCTCTCTATTGCAATCAGTCTAAAATAAATGAAAGGTTGAAATGAAAGTTTCTTTTGCTAACTAGTCCTTTTTCCCAACCAAATTTATAAACCCAAAAATTCAGAGGGGATGTTAAAATGTGTAGAGCATCATTTGTTTGCTTTGCACACAGAAGTTCACAATCAGTAAGAAAAATAGGAAGTTAGCAACTGGGCATGCACCAAAGAGTCCTAAGACAGTTCTCGGGGGTTTTTTTTTGTTTGTTTTGGGGTTTTGTTGTTTTTTTTTTTCTTTATTTTCACAGGCATTGCTAGTTCAAGAACCAACAGTCAAAGAATACTGGCACTTTAAGAGGAATGAAGTTTCCACTGTCATTTAAAACAAGCATTCAGGTAAAGCTAACAGGATCATGAAGCAGAAAGTAAAGTAATGCTAAAACAAATGCTAATAATTTAGTGTAATGTACAAAATTACTTCAGTACTTCTTAAGAATAAGGATAAATTGTATTTACATAATTATACACTTTGTCTTTGTCTTCTTTTTCTTCTTTTTACCATCTTTGCTCATCTTCTCTTTGTGTTTTCTGATTTCTCGAACTAATGTGTAGAAGGCATCATCAACACCCTGAAAAGACACAGAAGATACAAATTAGGATCAGGTTCAGACTCCCAGGCCTGCTGAGGCACAGCCTGTGTCCCTCCCTGGCCATTTGAGGGGGGTTCCATGAGCACATTTTGCTGCCTACCTGCCATCCTTTGAACCATGAATCCTGGCTGTAGGACTAATCCTGTTCCTCTCTGGAATTCTGAGCAGCACTGACACCACCACCTGAAAGAACTGCTTTGGTGCCAGCAGGAGCTGACACCTGCTGCCCTATTTGTGCTCCTAAACTGGGCTTAGGGCATCCTGCAGGTTACTCACAGGTGTCCACAGGTGAAATTCCATTGTTGGTGTGGGAAGGAAGGTAATGAAGTGTGTTCTGCCCTCCTCTGCATCTCCAAGAGCACACCTTGCCCCACCTCAAGCTAGAAAAGTATCACATACAGAGTGTGTATTTATATACTAACACCTCACAATTGGGTTGTAAGTATATATTATCACAGAATCATAAAATGGCCTGGGGTTGGAAGGGACCTCAAAGATCCTCCAGTTCCAACCCCAACAGCTTCCACTGTCCCAGGCTGCCCCAATCCCCACCCAACCTGGCCTAGGACATAGGACTCTTCCAGGGATGGAGCAGCCACAGCAACCTGTGCCAGGGTCTCACCACCCTCACAGGGAAGTTGTGAGGCATTAACTATCTTTATTTATGCTTTAGTACTCTCTATACAGCTCTGGAATAAGAATTCTAATATTTGTACCAATAATTCAATACCAAAGCCATAGTTATGGTTAATCCACATATTCTGATCACTTCTCAGGCACATTGGTATAGTAATCACACCACAGTTTGATACATCTTTACACATGCAAATCGATCAACTCAATCCCATGTCCCGATGCTAAGTTATTTGATAAATCATTCTATTCACTTTGAAAGTTAAGGACACTTGAAACACATTCTCTCTGGTGCTAGACAGTCACTGAAAATCTCCACGGCTCCATGATTTGAGCTACAGACACAAAAGCTAAAGTTTGTTCACACTGAGTAGTATCTCATTATTTTCAGAGGTAATTACAGCTGACCAAAATGAACTCTGATCTAAAGAGAACAGCATATCCAAAAGGCTGATATGGACCACTATCAAGTACAACGTACTTGGTTACAAATTACTTATGGGAAGTAATTTATGGCCTCGCTTCAAGTCCCACTGAAGTAATCATGTTGTCAGTCTGCTTTTACATTTAAAAATGAGTACAGGTGGTTACAAAATCCCTAAGATAAAAATTTTCTTGATTCTTTGCTGCCTTACTCCTTATACTTTTGAGAAATATTACTTTATCACAGCAGCCAAATGCATCACTGTAGAAATTCAGCCACATGAGTTTGCCTTCAAGCTGCCAAAAAAAAAAAATCCCAACACACTGCATTTCCTCCTGTATGCCTACTTCAGTAAAGAACTGAAAGTGAACTCTGAAATAAACAAAAAGCCAAAAATCACCTAATTCATTACTGTTTTAGCCAAACTCCAAGTGGCGAAACCTAGCATGAAAATTCCAAACAACAGCGAGGTGTGAAATAGCTTCATTTAAAAAGCAGCACTCAGTATAATCTAAACTTATTTAAAATCTTCAAGTTCATAAAACATTTACACACAACTTATGTTCAAAGTTCTTGGCAGTATATCTCCCAATATTAATAGTACACTTTTGCATATTACAAGACCTTGCAAACAACTTGCTCTACATTTTAAGGCACTGTTGACCAATAAAAAAATTGATGCAGCATACCTACTGGGAGAATAGCCTTGTTTCTGCAAAAGGTCATGTCACTCATTAGTTTTTGGAAAATTAAAAATACTTGGTATTACTTTAGAGAGAACAAGTGTATTTTTCTTACAGCTCCAGCATTAATGCACAAAGAATATTTAGCACTGTTCAAGTAGCAAAACACTATAGAAGTAGCAACAGTTCATGATTCCAATGCAGGTCTCAGAATTAAGGAGGAGCACAACACTAAGAATCAATCCCAACAGACAAAACAACAGTTTCATTCTTAAAATACAAGAACCATATAAGAATAGCCTCTGCCCAAGACTGCTCACGATGCCTTACAGAACCACCTTTCAGAACTGCCTTTTCAGTTAGTGCCTTCAAATGAGACACACTTAAAATTGTAATTTAAGTATTCAAATAAGCAATCTCCCCCTTGTTAAACTTGTTTTAAAATAAATGCAGAGAAAATAACTTGTACAAAACAATACCCAGATACTATCAGGAACCTTTAAACTCATGACTTGCCAATCAAGGGTTGAATTTTTTTTTCTACCTAGTAAGATGATGAACTGTTAAAATACAGCACATGTTGACACACAGAATCATAGAATGGTTTGGGTTGGAAGGGATCTTTTAAGATCATCTCATTCCCAGCCCCTGCTGTAGGCAGGGACGCTTTTCACTAGACCAGGTTACAGAACTGACTTGGCTTTCATCCTTGCATTGACACCTCTGTAGACCAAGCCTCACTAATTATTGATTGTTTGGTCCTAGCCACAATCCATCTTCCATTCAGGTCATTAACAGAACATGACATACAAAACTGTGCTTAAACCACTTGTGAGTTAGAAGTGGAGAACACAAGGAAAAGGGAGGTCTTTCCCTTTGCAGCCTGCCCATTAAATTTTACATGTAAGCAGTGGATACTCTGTCTGCAGCAGGTCCCTGAGGCATCAATGCTGTGAGATCAAAGGCTGCCAACCTTTCCAGTCAGCTCTTTCAGTAGCAAGGGACTGCAGGCAGCTGACCTTCCTCCCTCTGACAATGCACTTATTGTGTGCAAGCCTTTGGGGAAGCTCAGATGAACTGAATGAGAGCACTAAATCCAGGCTCAGATTAGAAACTCACAATTCCCTTGCAGGCTCAGAACTAAACCCAGAGCCTCACCAAAGGTGCACTGACAGGCCTTGCTCCTGGCCCTTGTTCTTCCAAAGGGCAGAGGGAACAGAAACAGCAGCACTGATCCCACAGGAACAGCCTGCTCCTGGCTAGAAGTTTGCTTTTGGAGCCCCACACGGTCCCCACAGCTGCAGAGAAGTCTGGAGATGTGGCAGCATGACCACAAGCATGTACGAGACTGGGCAACGAACCTGGCTGGCAATAACAAACAAAAAAATCATAAGGAATTTGGAATTCCTTAAAATCCCAGTCCCAAAAATAACCCTTACACAAGTTCTAAATTGTAGGAGTTCTTTCTTATATATTTTTTTTAAATCTATATAAAAACATGTATTATATATATATATAATATATTTTAGCCTATTTTATATATAAAATATATATAATTATATATAAAGATATCTTTTATATATGGAAATATATATTTATATATATTTAATATATGCATATTTTTATATATATTTATATATACATACACACATGTATCAGTCACAAGAAACAGAGTTATTTGTACACCTCTGTAGTACTATGGAGAGAAACTATTAAACTGCAGTTTCAATCAAGAATTTAGGCATTTTTAAATTCAAATCTAGAACTTTTGTAATTCAAACTTTTCACTACTAACCCAGCTCAACCCAAATTCCATTATCTAGATGTCTGCTTGTAGCGTGTTTTTTATTTAAAAAATCTGATGCTTTCACAGAACAAGTTCTTTTGAGGATTTCACATGGAGTTTTAGAAACTTCTCCCTGCTAGCTGGAAATTACAAATAGATCAAAAGATGTTTTGTCCTTCCTGTTTTACTGTGTAACAGCCAAAGGAATGAAACTCTGAGAAAGTGTCAGCAGTTCACTGCAGTCTGGGCAGTCAGTTTTCAGTTTCCTTGGGCAAGACTAATAGAACCTCAGAAGGCATCCCACAGGCAGCAAGAAGATAAACAAGAGTCCAAGAGGGAGAAAAACCCTCTGAACCACCCCGCTTGATTATTCACAAAATACTGTCACTGCAGTCTCTGTTACAATGAATATTTCTGAAGTCTAAAATTCTGGCTGGAAGGCTCACACCATCAGGTGCTGCTCTCCTTAGCCACCTACTACACATCAGACTGAAATAATACAATTTTTACTGACTGGAAAGTAATACAAGCCAGGCTGGAGATTTCTCATTCCACTCAAATCACTACTGAACTATAGCTGTGCCATAATAATTTTGGAAAATGCTTCCTCCAGCTCAATTCCCTAAACACAAAGTTGCTGAAAATGCCCATCAATACCATGCAGAATTCACTTGGGAATAAAGGCAAATGATTCCTTCCCTAAGCAGATTCCTGAAGCTTTAGAGCCTTAGATCCAAGAGTATTTTCTAAACAGGGTGCAGGGAAAAAAAACCCACAACAACAAACATCCAAAACTCAACAACATTCACTGTTGACAGAAGATTTCCCTCTTGGGGGCGGAAAAAAAATTGTGAAACCCCCCCAAAAATACTTCTCTTGGACATCATTAGGAAGGAGAAAGCATGTTCTCAGAATATGCTAAGAATGCTACAGTCTACAAAAATCCTTCCACTGAAAACCACTATTCCCACCATCTTATTCCCATTCTCCCAACAGGAAGGGAAAGCAGACAGGACTCAGCGTCTTTCAAGTCCCAGCATAAAAAAAAAAAGAATTCTACTTTGTGGTATGGTTCTATCATTAACACACCAAGTAACTGCAAAGTTGGTTTCCAGAAGGCTACAGGGCTTAAGCAACTTAATTTCTACTGTTCTCATCAAAAGTCATCTTGCCCAGCTTCTCTTTGTTGTTTTTTGATAGCAGGGAAGGACAGAAAAAGGTGTTTTAATGGCATCAATTTTAGTAATATCTGGATGCAATACTAGAGAGCTTCATGACTGAAGTTTCCAGTTTCCTGCAATGGAAACCTGTGATGCAAAGAGCATCACAAAGTGATTGAATCATATA